TTAGGCCAACAATACATTGAATAATTAATGAATACATCAAAGTTGTATTAAGTATAGGCTTATATTCTATATTTAAATACGGAATGTGCGAATTTAAATTATAACAAATGAAAAAGAATGTTCAATTCAGCTCGTGTCACAATTTATAAAAAAAGATTTCCTGCGTATAGGATTCCACATTCGTAATAATCGGCAACGCATCCGTCAAACTAAAAGCCTAACACGTATTTTTGATCCTAAAAAAGAATCGTTGTGTACATATATCTGTTTGAATGATGCAAAATAATTTCGAATGCTGGTTATTGCGAATATGAACCAGGATATACGTCGCTCTCCAAATCATCGCCAAATTGATTATATATATTTTACAAATTCAAATGCACATTTTCCAAAATTTTCCGGGAAAACCTATATTAACATTTCATACTCGTTTATTCTTTTTGATCTTAAAAAGCAGCGAGAAAGATCAGTTGACAAGAAAAAAATGCAGACAGCGCTTAACAGCGAAGTTAAACCTGGGTGCATAAAGACAAACGAATATGAAACTGGTAATATCTGCACTTTGAATAGATGACTCTGATACAGGGTCAAATCTGACACAGGACTTTAAGGGTGTTTTCACTATGAGTTTCTGCAAGAATAATAAAGTGCAAATTATTGCGGTAAACTAAGGAGCACCGCTCCCCTGCTGTAATAAAAATGTGATCTGATACCAATCCACCGATACGAGTGTCCCAGCAACGCCAATGAACATTCCTTGCCATCCCAGGACACTAACCAACCGGTCATCACTCACAAGGAACTGTACCATGACGTCAAGGGCCTGAAAAACCACACCGTAACCAACGCCTACGAATCCAGTAAGTGCTAACTGTCCGAAAAAAAAAGGTCTGATGAAGGCGTCTAGGAGTAACGATACACCGACGATGCCTGCCCCGAAACACGCCCAAAATGTCATGGACGGTGTTACGCCGATCTGTTGTAAGAGTACTACCAACTTTCCGATAACGTTGCCAACACCGAACGCAGTGGGCAGAAATGAAGACTAAATTATACTCAAGCCCTGACTGAAACTGCCCATGCGACATCATTGTGTCAACCACCCATGCACTGTAGGCAAAAGAGACAGTGCCTCTCGCGAGGACAGACGACCGACCTCGTGCTTCTGATCATTACCGGTAAAATTCTGTGCATCTAGGCTGAACCGTCTTTGCTTTATGTGGATTTGCCTTTCACATGGACACTCTTGCATCACATCCGCTGAAAGGGGCATGACTGCCTGAAATCCCCGGAAATGTTATGTTTGGATTGTCCAATTGTACCACGGTTCCTACACAGAAGGATCAACGACTTTGCCAAACTCTTGGCTAGATGCGTGATAACGGCCTAAGACTGGATTTGGTTCGTCTCGTCGATAACGCCCTCTACCGTTGATGTCGTTTGGCTGCGTGCACCGTGACCGTTTTAGCCGATTTTCGGCCAACTGTGACAGATTTTATTCTAAAAAAAACGAGTTTGACAGAAAATTTGAAAGAATGGATTTTTTGGCAGATTTCTGGCAGAATTCTGCAAAAATGGTTATTTGACAGAAAACAGCAAATTTGCAAAAGAAATGGTACATTTGTTTACAAAAGCTTTAATTTTTTCAAACAAACCCTTGCATAATGGGACAAGTTGGCTGGTCTAGGTGTCGATGTTCACTGGGAACCGGCCGGATTGCCGGACGCAACGGGGTTTTGCCTGAAATTTACGCAATTTCATATTGTCTTTATGTGGCTATAGATTGTTATAATGTAATTTGAACATTAATTAAGGCAATACTACAAATCTGCATGTGTTGATAGTGTTTTATATTGTATTTCGAGTAATTCTGGGGAATTTGGCAGATTTTTGATAAATCTGACAGATGCTTGAAGTGCATTTAGCAGAATTCAGTCATGACCTTACGGTCACCCTGGCTGCGTGGCCCTTGCCAGTGCATGCATCGCGCTAGGGGCCAAATAGCTGTACGTATTGGAACATAATCCAAATCCACTGAGTACAGCCATTCAGCAACGTAATGGCATCATCCAGAAATGCAACCACCCGCCAGTACGACCACGACAATTGGGGCTGGGTAATGGTGGCCACAGCGTTCACCTGCTGTTTGGTTCTCTATGGTAATTTGAAGGCGCTGGGTGTCCTCCTCATTCCGATGACCAACGACCTGGCAAGCGACCTGTGGCTGGTCGGATGGGTTGCAGTGTTGTACGATATTATGCATAATTTTATGGGTAAGTACACACGCATGAACACAGACTTTGCCAACAGTAGCGGGGCCAAGGTTTTAAACTTTCAGCATTGAGAGTAGAATCTTTAAAGCAAGGTATTTGCTTAAGAAATTGAAAATGTGTCCCATGATTCGAAAAGCAAGTGACTTGTGTTCCATAAATAAAATAAATGCTCTGTCTCTAGATAAGCCTTTCCTTTAACAAGAGTGGAAAAACCAACGGCCTCTAATGACTTTGCTCAGCACGTAGCTCTCGTGTGCGGCGGGCTTAAACGTGAAGAAAATTAGATGTTCCATAACAAACACGCAGGAGCAGTGGCGTAGCCACGGGGGGGGGGCCGTGGGGGGCGACAGCCCCCCCCCCCATGAAACCTTGTCGCCCCCCTGTCGCCCCCCCCCCCCCCCCCACTGAGATTTTGAGTTTCTAAAAAAATTACCATTGATCTACATGACGCCCCCCCCCCCCATTAAATGGTCCAGTCCCCCAGCGCCCCCCCCCCCCCCCCCACTTAAAAATTCCGTGGTTACTTCATGGTTATGTAGTTACCACTCATCACAATTCAATAATAAAGATCAAAAACGTACACTCATGAATATTCAAAAATATAATTCGCTGGCTTGACAGACTTCGAGGCCAAATCGGGCGAAGAGCCATGCAAATCTGAAAGCCACCGCGCGCAGTGGTCTCTGTTGGAAAGTATTCATGGTATTGGCCACCAGTACCGGCCGTTATCATGCGTCTAACCAAGAGTTGGGCCGAGTTGTTCATCCTTGTGTGTAAGATCCGTGGACCAACGAGTCCTCGGACAACGACCTGTGGCTGGTCAGCTGGCTTGTAGCCGTCTACAGAATAATGAATGGATGCATGGGTAAGTACAAGATTCGAAATTTGAACTATGCGTATTTTCTGGCCCGATTGAAGTTAAAATTTAGGTTGCATAATTGTCAATGGGATGCAACGTCATACTTTTTCAGTGCCCATGTTTACACCCACCAAAAACTTCCTCGAACAATCGGGGAGATTTCTGCGACCGAACACAAAGGCCGCCCGTCCCTATACTGCAATGGCCATAAAGTGCAGTTTTACCAGGTTTTTTTTTTTTTTTTTTTTTTTGGGGGGGGGGGTTCGTCTTGGTGCATCCTGGGTCAACTTTGTTTTGGCGCTGTGTAAATGTGGTTTTTTTTTGTAATTATCAAAGTTGTTGTGGGGAGGGTAGTACAGAATTCATCTGTCTTCTTTTAAAAAATAAAAGGAAAAAAATATGCATTCATGTAAATTGAAAAAGAAAATAAAATTTAAATGAATAATGTTTTTTGCATAGGATGGATTTACGAGTGGACTGAGAGTTTCAGCATGGTTCTCTGCGTGTTTGCTGGGGCGACGTTGATGTCTATTCCCTTCCTCGTTATCGAAGCTCCATACATGGATCATTCTATAATTTTAGGATCCCCGGCAGCCCTTCCAAGGCAAAACAATGCAACATTAGATGCATTGTTATGCCACAGAAAAAAGGCTATAAATTGTCATAGAAAATGAAACTGAAACAACACATATTCAGTTACATTCTTTTGCTCTGATTGATGTTAATTTGAAATTAGCAAGAGCAATGTAAATACAACTTCACCTTTTTTACCAAATATAAAACTGCATTTTGGGTAAAACAACTTCATCAAAAAGGGAGCAACATGTAGATACATTGTTTTGCTGTTGAAAAATACAATTCTTTCGGTAAGATACATTGTTCTGCCGTAGAATATTTTGGGAAATGTCGAAAAAATTCCCAAAAATGGCATAAATTAACTCGGAAAATAAATATCGTGTGACTTTGAAATTCAGCTAAATGAAAACAGCACCTACATATTCCCTTAAAAGGTTATTATCTTAAAAAGTCAAAATTTTGAGATACATGGTTCGCCCCTGTCAGTGCATCTAACACGGACGGTTTTGTTACTTAGCAGGAAATTTAAACTAAGGAACCATTTGAACCCAGTTGATGAAACTGGCAGCTTCCAACTGGTAAGAACCAGAATATGGATGGAAACAGTTATATACCAACTGTTAATTATTTCTTTTGGGGTCAACAGTAGGAAGCAGTTTTTGCCAATTACTCATTTGATATTTAATTTATATTATATATATATATATAAAATATTTTACGTAGAAAACCTGCCAACATGATCCAAGACTGCACATCATGTTTGTTGGGGTAGTGGTTCAATAATATGATGGGCCCTACTGATTTTACACTGTATGGGAATTTATTGATGTATATCGTGTGTATGACCTACACTCTGTCTAGCCTTGTGCAAGGTCACTTCATGCCCTTTGACACTGTCACCACTCCAGAATTTGGCTAAATTATATCTTTAATATATGAGAGGAATGGCAACCCCGGATCCTATGGACACACCAACAGACAGAATAAAAGACGGGAATAAAACAACTTCTAACTTTCTTCAATTATATTTAAAAAAAAAAAAAAAAAACCAAAACTTCACAACTTCTTCTTTACATATATACAGCAAATATCTTACAATTCAATTCCTCTAATTTTAACTTGAAGTCGATAAAACTCTTATCTTCACTTCAGTTCACTTCAACTCGAAATTATTATTTCCAATAATTATCAAATGGTTAAATGCTTGGTTTCTCTCCGGTGTATTCTTATTCGTTCACAAACTAATTTCAATTATATTAAGAACTTGCTTTCTGTGGTACGTTAAGTTTTCCAAACTACACCAGTTGTACTTAATTCTTATGCTTCACAGATTCAATAAAGCTTATTTTTGATACTCTCCAAACCGATGTTGAAGCCTCAAGTTGCCCACTAGGCTGCAGGACTGGTCTCCATACACGCTACATCAGTACCATGCTTCAACGCCTTGTCTATAGGTTGCTAGTCAATGGTAGACTCCTCTCCAGTCGGTGTTACTGCCGACGGATCACTCATCAATACCAAATAAAGAGGCCATCTAAAATAAATATAAGATCCAAAACCTTTCGAGTTTTCTCGTATAATACAAACATTTAAACATCCCTATCATTTCTACATGATCTGGTTTGCTTTCCAAATCCTCAAGAAGTATCTTATGTTTACTAAAATCCTTACTTCGAAATTCTCAATCATAATAGCTGACTTTTCTGTTATCAAACTCTTCAATCAAAATTCTCATGCTCAAAGTAATTCTCAACGTCAAATTCAAGATTTGCTGTTAATGATAAAACAATTCTACATTTCTACGATCTTTGACTTCTCTTGGTCGTTTCAAAATCATGCTGGTATATATAACTTCTAAAGATCAATCCAATCTTCATTTCAAAATCAACTTAGTCTCCATCAATCTTAAAGATCACTCCAGTAATAAAGATTTATACAAAACTCCATAAATCAACACTTACGGTAATTTAGCTGGGCGAATACCTGGGGAGGTGAACGGTTGCTATGTGATGTCAAGATGACCGGGACGCTATGACGCTAGAATTTGGCCTGGATTTGCCAAATTCTGGGAAACGGAACTGAACTTTCCTTGTTCCCGCAGGATCAAACGGATCCAAAAGCTAAATCTGCTGTCATCAGATTTCAGGTGCAGGGCAGGCTGAAACCGGTCTGGCAAACACGATCACTCTCTCTCCCACCTTCACTCTCTCGTCTCTCTATCAGATCTAAAATGTCTTCTCTCTCTCAACAAAATTCACTCACTTCACAACATCGAAAAAAGTCCTAAACGCTGCGTTTGGTTCAATACAATACGAGCTGTTGTCTACTAATTGGTGCGGTTTTGTTCAACGATTAAGATGCGCTTTCTATAACAACTACCATGGCCTATGTACAAAACGTTCTTACGTAAGATGGGATGGGTTTTTTTGCGACTCGACTACGCCTAGGTTGAAAGTGGTTGCGGAAAGTCTACGCGGGAATTGAGTAATACGTTATTGGTTAAAAACTTTAAGACGGATCCATTTGATGCGGGGTGTAACCGTATACCTTTGGTATCTCATAAAAAACATACAACTCGCACGGCACAATAAACACACGGAACGCGTTAAAATAATCTAGGTTTCTCGGTTGCACTGTAACAGACACTCGAGCTATATAGTGGTCAACACACAGCATATAAATATGACCTTGCCGTGCCGCATACATATGTACCAGAAAAACCGTTAGGCCACACCGCGCTAGCATGCAGTTTACTAGCACATCCAAAATTGTTGAAGACGGAGCAGGCACATATGTACACATCGTTTTCTCCAAGAAAACACTGATTATCTGTATTGTATACAGTTCCAAATCCGTGTCCAAATGCATCACACAAGTCTGTAAACATACAAGTCAGCTGCAGTCTTTACCGAATGAGAGAGCCTTAAGTTTGGACTTCATCTTTGTGGACGTGTTTGGAGCCTAAGTTGATCTTGCTAATCCTATCATTATGTTGTTGTAGCCTTACTGGTAAGTTTGTACTGAATGTTTTTAAATATGTAATGTCCAAGTTTTTTATTTGTATCTTACAGCATGGATTTCGTCACATTAGTACTACATTTTGTGTTTGATATTATTTGCTTAATATGCTTAACATTTATGATCTGGCCATGCTGGTGAAAGAATTAAGGCTCATATCCAAGCAATATACCGGTGCATGTACATGTAGGCCCATAGGGTCCTATATAACACTCGAAGCAGTCACAATTATGAATACGAGTTAGGACTCCTGGTTCTCATACAATGCAAGAAACAACACACCTTTGATAATTTCAGGGACCAGAATAGTATTGGATAAAGTAAAGTAAATGAAATATGGCCGGAATTGGGATACAAATTAATTGCGGAACACAGTTTCTTCGGCATTGCAGAAGTTGATATGGTTACTTTTCGTTCTGAAAATTTAGCTGATGTTTAAATAATGTTAGAACTGAAAATAATAAAAGCCAAAACCCTGACAAATCGGTGGTTTCTGAAAGTGTACAAATGACACACTTATTGACACATTTATTTCAGACCAGATAATCTGTATTCATGAGTTGTTTTTTAGCTGTTTCGGTGTACACACCGAAACAGCTCTTGTTTTCGTTAAGATTTTTTTTGTCTTTTTTAGCTGTTTCGGTGTACACACCGAAACATCTCTTGTTTTCGTTTAAGATTTTTTTTTTCTTTTTTAGCTGTTTCGGTTACAACCGAAACAGCTCTTGTTTTCGTTAGTGTTTGTTTTTTTTTTTTTTTTTTTTAGCTGTTTCGGTTACAACCGAAACAGCTCTTGTTTTCGTTATTTTTTTTTATTTTTTTTTTTCTCTTTCAGACTCTTCTCCATAGGGTTTGTAAACGTTTTTTCTTTCACAAGGGCACTTTGGCACTTTCTTAAATTGCTTCAACCTCAGACTTGGCACACACTTAGACCACCATCCACGGATGGTCCTAGCAGAAATTCGTAATCATGACGTTATCAAGTGTCAAGTTACGTAACATTAAAGGTGCATTTTTTCTCCATAGGGTTTGTACACGTTCTTTTCTCCGTAGGGTTTATACACGTTCTTTTCTCCATAGGCATTGTGCACGTTGTTTTCTCCATAGGCTTTGTACCCATGGGGTCGGACAACTCGACCGTTATCCAACTTGACATTTTGACAGCGTGCGCGTGCATGCCTTGCCGCCCTACAGCTGGCCAGGTCCCCGCGCACTCTACGCGGAACAGTCATGATGCCACAGATTTATGCGGCTTACGTAAATGTGACAAACTTGTAGTTGGGTATGTGAGTTGGGATAATCATGATTTATCAGAAGTTAACAACTTTAGAGAATTTCTTAAATGTTAATGTGGGATTTTCGGGGATTTGTTCAAGTGCGCCACGTTAGGAACACTGGAAAGAATTCCATATAAGCCTCCACCTCTATGGGCCATGACAGGAAACGTCAAAGTATTTTTAAAGAAAATCGTGATTTTTTCCCCTCCTAAATTTCCGTTTCTTCGTCAGATTTACAACTTTTGGTACTTTTCAAGTCATATCTAGAAAAATAACTGGAGTCCGTATATGGAATTCTTTCCAAGACGTCATTATTAATTTAATTCCCTTCTCGTCTGCTCAGTACTATTGGTATTTTCACTCCCAACATAGTTGAACACATTTCGTTTTTCCTACTTCAAATATAGACACCAGAAATAAGTTGCTAAATACAGGTACACTTTGACACTTTCCTAAATCTATCCTCGACCCGCTATCATCATCTGCGCACCTGGGTATGTCCATAAATAAGGGGTCCAAAAGTGTGACATTTTTGGTGTCCCTGTTACAACAGACCTGTTAATTTCCCATTCAAGTGTCAATAAAAATGACTTCACACTATTTTTCATTTGTTTACCAGGTAGTTTGCTTTACATAATCACTCTTAGAATCAGAGACATGTGTCCTGAATTACAAAATCTTCCACAAGTCAGATGTAACTCGGACACCAAAATTGGACCCTAAATTTATGGAATCACCCACCTACGCTTTGCACGCGCACCCGTTCCCAAACGCAAAGACGTCTGACATAAATCGACTTTACACACTTGGCACACACGGCAAAAACTTGGAATCCCCACACAAAGGTTCTCGGTTCGATAGCCGCCGATGGCCACGTCAATCTTTTTCATTCAAAAACCGGAAAAAACACCGAAACAGCTCGGTGTTTGTTTACCTACAAACACAACGTCCGTCTAGTTTTTTTGTTTTTTTTCTTTTTAGCTGTTTCGGAGACACACCGAAACAGCTCTTGTTTTCGTTAAGATTTTTAGCTGTTTCGGTGTACACACCGAAACAGCTCTTGTTTTCGTTAAGATTTTTTTTTGTTGGTTTTATTTTTTTTCTCCTTTTTCAGACTTTTTCTCCAAAGGTTTAGCACACGTTTGTTCTACCAGTCCACTTTGCCACTTTTTTAAATCCGATTGATTTCAGACTTGGTACATACTTAGACCACCACCCACAGATGGTCCTAAAAGAAATTTGTGATCGTGACGTCAGGTGTCAGGTTACGTCACATTAAAGATGCATTTTTCCCCCTAGGGTTTGTACACGTTTTAAAACACTCCACTTTGGCACTTTCGGAAATTCGATGGACTTTAGACTTAGTACACACCTAGACCACCACCCACAGATGGTCGTAGAAGAAATTCATGTTCGTGACATCATCAGGTGTAAGGTTACTTCACATTAAATATGCATTTTTCCCCATAGGTTTTGTACACGTTTTTCTTCAAACCACTTACTTTGGCACTTTCATATGTCTGATTGACTTTTCACTTGGCAGATGACATTCGAAGTGACGTCATCAAGTGTTCATCACGTGCACAGAGTATTTCAAATATACGAAACAGCTTGTGTTTGTCCACAAACACATTTCTACTTTCTTTTTCTTCTCCTTTTTCAGACTCTTTCTCCATATGGTTTGTACACGTTTTTCTGCCTTCAGTACACTTTGGCACTTTCTGATATCCGATCAACTTAAGACTTGGTACATACTTAGACCAACACCCACAGATGGTCCTAGAAGAAATTCGTGATCGTGACGTCATCAGGTGTCGGGTTATGTCACATTAAAGATGCATTTTTCCCCATATGTTTTGTACACACTTTAAAACACTCCACTTTGGCACCTTCGTAAATCCGATCGACTTCAGACGTGGTAAATACTTAGACTACCACCCACAGATGGTCTTAGAAGAAATTTGTAACGGTGACGTCATCAGGTGTCAGGTTACGTCACTTTAAAGATACATTTTTTCCCATAGGGTTAGTACACGTTTTAAAACACTTTGGCACTTTCGTAAATCCGATCGACGTGAGACCTGTTACACATTTAGACTGCCACCCACAGATGGTCCTAGAAGAGGTTTGGGATCGTGAAATCATCATGTGTCAGATTACATCACATTAAATATGCATTTTTCCCTATTGGTTTTGTACACGTTTTTTCTCAAACCACACACTTTTGCGCTTCTATATGGCTGATTGACTTTACACTTGGCAGACACTATATAAGACCAGCAGCCGAAATTGGTCCCTCATGAATTCGTAACGACGACGTCATCGTGTGTCAAGTGACGTGACAATTAATGTGCATTTTTTAAATCGCTATAACTTCGGAAGTACAAGTCCAATTAAAACTTGGTATGCACATTCACATGGATGTGTTTTAGATGGAAATTGAAGTGACCTCATCATCAGATGTCATGTGACGTCCCTTAACAGGGGCATTTTATTCTTATACAGGCCGATAATGTTCGATTTGGTTGTAACTGACATGTACGTACAATGTGCAGTTATAGATGACATTTGTAGTGACGTCACTGATTGTTCATAACGTGCTCAGAGTATTTCAAATATCCGAAACAGCTTGTGTTTGTGGACAAATTTCTTAGACTAGTTAATTTTGTGTTCGGTTTGTTATCAATGTCAGGGAGCCATGGACACAAGGGAACAGTCAATCGGTAGCGTGAAGAGAAGAGTTTTGCAACAGAGACGGGCACGACAGTGATGGGAAAAGGTTCAGTAGACACTGAAGAAGCACGTATAACTGCAGTAAATTAAGTGACTCGAGGTGTAATTGTTATGCCAATTTGAAGCATGCGAACTGGATATCCAAACATTGACGTTATTTCTGCAAGGCTTCAGTGTTACAGCTTTGATGATTTTTATCTTTGATTCGATACAACTTGACTAGTTTTGACAGTACATGAAAGTTCTTTGCTTCCTGGACCTGTTTTCTGGTAGTGTAAGTCTGTAAATTTTTTGTCAAACAATAGTATGATGATCTGAGACTGAATGTTAATTGTCCTGGATTTATCAAGCCAATGAAGTTTCCTGTAAATTTAGTCACCAAGATTGAGACGATGTGCGGTTTCATAATTTGAACATTTGTGAGTAGGCTACCTTTACTGTTTTAACGTGGATTGTGGCCTATTTTTGAAACAAGACTTTTATAGTGAACTTAAGAGGCATTAAATTCAAAACAAAACCTTATCTCTTTTATTCCAAACTTTCAAATTTGCATGTAAGTAGGAAATTATCTTGCCATTAAAAAAACTTGTAAAAATCATGTGAAAATCAACTGTAAAAGAAGTTGCATCGCCATCTTGAGAATTCTTCATGGTTCAACTTCAAGGCTTCTGCATTTATTGAAGCCAATTAAATTTCATTGATTATTATTATACACATTTTGTTAACAGTGTCAAATAGATACAATTAACGTACAGTATTTGCCAACAGTATTTTGATCCCCTTTGTCTCTTTTGTAATACATGTTTCCACATGGCACTCTTTATTGTCAATTAATTGCAAAATATGTATCTAGATATTCATCAAACTAGCTCCCTTGAAGCAACCCACAGATCTCAGCCCGCCTTTTCAAGACCAGTTCAACCTGTTAACGACAGTTTCCAGTTACAGACCAATTCAAAACGACTTAACAGTTCCAAGCCAGTTGGCAACAGCTCATGTCAGTTGGAAACCAGTTTGAAACCATGTTCACACCAGATGAATTAGTTAAACCAGTTGGAAACCAATTAAACCAGTTGAAAACCAATTAAACCAGTTGCCCAGTTCCTCCCAGTTAAAAACCAATTAGACCAGTTGCCCAGTTCCTCCCAGTTAAACCAGTTGGAAACCAGTTCATACCAGTTAAACCAGTAGAAAACCAGTTAAACCAGTTGCTTAGTTCATACCAGTTAAACCAGTTGGAAACCAGTTCATACCAGTTAAACCAGTTGAAAACCAGTTAAACCAGTTTTCCAGTTCTTACCAGTTAAACCAGTTGGAAACCTGTTGAAACCAGTTGGAAACCTGTTGCCCAGTTCATACCAGTTAAACCAGTTCAAAACCAGCTCAAACCAGTTGAACCAGTTTAAACCAGTTAAAACCAGTTAAAACTAGTCACCAATTCCCAGTTCAACTGGACCAGTGGGGACCAGTTGAAACCAGTTCAACTGGTTTCAACTCACCTTGAACACGAATTCGTTGACCCGCAACTTCCAGATATTTCCGCCGGGTCGTCGAGCTTGTTTGTATTAGAGTAGAATCTGAAATGGTGTATTGGATTGGAGGGCCCAATTGTTTACTTGGATAAAAAAATACAACTGTCCGGAAATTAATTTAACGAAGCATTTCAGTTTGGTATTCCATCGGATAATTATCTTCTTGTAATCGAATGGAATGGATGATTTTATTATGTATGAATTTGGTATATATTATAAAACTTTAGGACAGACAATTAAATAAAATAGAATGGACGTGAGCCGTATAAGACACTTGCTCACTCATGAGTAAAGTATATTTGTGACTTTTGGTAAACCAACGGTTCTGTAATAAACATGTGGACCATTTTCAGCCATCCAAAAAGTAACCTACTATAAATTATTGTTTCTCCCCTGGCATGCGGTCATCTTGAAGAAAACACCATTTCTAAAGATGAGTCAAGTGACACATTTTTTCAGAACGGATCTACTCACCAATGAAAGGACATTATTCTCGTTTGTCGGTCGCGAGATTAACACACACAAAATGTGGACAAACACCAGCTGGCTTTAGGCGATTTGCCAAAAAAAATCTGAAAATCACGCGTACAGTGTACGTGATTTCATGGGCTGGTTATATCTTTTAAGCTCAGCACCCCTAGAAATCAAACAGGATAGATATTTGCCTCACGGCCTTGCGAGGCAGAAACTCAGCAAAAATTCTCCATACACGGGGATATTGTGTGAGCCATACGTGCTGAGCAAACGGCCTCGGGTGACTTTGTGCTCAGCACGTTGCTCTCGTGTGCGGCGGGCTTTATAGTACCCGACAAAAAGTCGAATACATTTACGAATCTCTGCACCACGTATCGTACCAAAGTTGTATCTAGGCTGTGAGGTCAAGTGTACAGCGTAATTTATTGTATTTGAGTGAATGTTTTTAGTGTTAACTTCAGGAATCAGTATTTCAACAGCACATTAGAGCAGATTTATAGCAGCTATCGTAGAGGGTGGAGATGCATTTTGCTGAGATATGCATGAGTTAACCTTACGTGAATTCCTTCTTACGGAATACATTTTTTTCTAAAGATGCCCCCCCCCCCTACAGATTGCCGCTATAAGCATGAGGTCTATTTGTTCTGTCCTGAAGCATTTTTTTTTATACCATTGAATGGCAGGTCAACACCACTGTGATCGCGATTAAGAATTACTATTTTTCCTTGTCTCGGCAGGGCCTGTTGTCGGAGCACTAAGTCGCTTGATGGGCAGCCGTCCCATGATGGTGTTTGGTGGACTTCTTACTACGACTGGCTTCATGTTAACGTCAATATCATCCAACGTTTTCGCTGTGGCTGTTTTTATTGTTGGATTATCAGGTACAATTATATCCCCGGTCAATATCAAGAACAGATGTAATTCATTTTTAAGTAAATGTTGCCAAAGGTTGAAGACTGAGTGGCCAGAAACTACACTCAACCAAAAAAGAAATTCCCCCTTTCGATACTTTTTTGTCTACTTACTAAAAACTACTGAGCCCCTCTCGCTCAAATGACGACTAATCAGTACAGAAATTCCTTAGCAATCCAGTCATTCTCTTTATTTGGCCCCAAACAGTGAAAATGTATGCAATCTATGACCAATGATACAGAAAACAGTTGCACTTTTGTATACGTTCAAGTTGTGGTTCACACTCACCTTGCAAGTATACAAAAGTGCAAATTTTTTCGGTACCATTTGTCATCAATTGCATAATTTTGCTTACACATTATCGTCGTTTTGGGTCAAACGAAGAGTAATTCTGGATTGCTAAGAATGTTTGTACTGATTAGTTGTAATTTGAGCAAGATGTGCCACGTAGTTTTTGAGTTAGAAAAAAAGTGTTAAGGGGGACTTTCTTTCTTGGTTGAGTTTTTGTCCATATTAATCTTAGTGGCTTTCAAAATAAAACAATATTACTTCTAACCTAGCTTGCAAGAAAAAAAATATTAGGCCTACAATAAAGACCCTTTCACACTAGTTATACGAGCCTGTTGATGATTTCTAGCTACCAGATTGAATTTACTGCAAACATCCTATTGGCCAAGCTCAAGACCAGACACATTTTTGTTCCAGGTATAGGGACTGCATTTAGTACGTTCATCAGCTTGGCACTCACGGCTTCGTACTTCAAGGACAAATATCCACTTGCCAATGGACTATCAACAATGGGTGTTCCTATTGGGATGATGGCTTACGGACCAGTTACGCAGTTGCTTCTGGGCACCTATGGCTGGAGAGGAACCATGCTCTTAGTGGGAGGTATCTCGTTTCATCTAGTGGCGTGTGCTATGTTAGTGCGACTGGATCCATCTTCCTCCTCACCAGACAATGAACAGTACCAAGAGGTTTCGGTAAACGATGGGGACGAAAACCAGTCGGCGGGAGAAGGCAGAGATTGTACTGATGACAAAACTGATAACTCAAAGAAGAGTTGCTGCGATCCAGACCATCGACAAAATAGGACTGGAATGTGTTGCCGAAACATTGTGAAAGCAATTGATATGGCTTTGCTGACAGATGTCAGGTTTGTTTTGCTAATTTGTGCGAGATGCACAGCCAATTTTACCTATAGTGCATGGGTGGTTTACATGGTGTCGCACGGGCAGTTTCAGGGCCTTAGTGAAATTCAAGCTTCGTTTCTGCCCACTGCGTTCGGTGTTGGCAACGTTATCGGAAAGTTGGTATTGCCATTCCTGCAGCAGATCGGCATTAAACCGTCCATGACATTCTGGGCGTGTTTTGGGGCAGGTATCGTCAATGTATCGTTCCTCCTTGACGCCTTCATCAGACCTTTCATCGGACAGTTAGCTCTTACTGGATTCGTAGGCGTTGGTTACGGTGTGGTTTTTCAAGCCCTTGACGTCATGGTACGGTTTCTTGTGAGTGATGACCGGTTTGTTAGTGTCCTGGGATGGCAAGGAATGTTCGTTGGCGTTGCTGGGACACTCGGTGGATTGATATCAGGTTGGTTCGTTTAACATATGTTTTTAATACAGAGGAGCAGTGCGGTGCACCATTTTGGTTTACATCGATAACTTGTACTTAATTTTTTGTTTGCACAAGCTCAGGGGAAAAAAACTATAAAAAGTCCCGTGTCAGTTTGACCTGGTAGCCGAGTTATTGAACGTGTAAATTTTACCAGCCCAGCGCTGCGTGTCTTTATGCACCCAGGGTCGACTTCGTTGTTTAGCGTTGTGTTAATTTTTCTTCTTGCCAACAGGTTTTTTTTCTGACGGGGGGTAGGGTGTACAGATTTCTTTCATTGAAACTAAAGTACAAATAAATGTCTTTTTTTCACAGGATGGATTTACGAGTGGACGGGAGGTTTCAGTATAGTTCTCTGCGTGTTTGCTGGAGTGACGTTGCTTTCTATTCCCTTCTTCGTTACCGAAGCTCTATACGCCAAGCGAAAGGCACTCTAACATGGATCATATTCTAAAATTTTTGGATCCTATAATTTTCGTTTCCCTTGTCCCTGTTGCATCAGACATGTACGATTTTGTTAATGCTGGATGAACCCCTTAAACCCTTTACCCTAAAAGTGTTTGTCAAGCTAACTACATAACCAACAGTTGAGAATAGTTTGAGCTCATGTTTATAATGATACTGAAAGGTTAAAAAGTTCCGAGTTATCAGGAACAGGAACAATGTAACACATTGGACCCGAAATTTATAACATGATCATGCGTTTGTGTGACAGTTAAGGTGCATGCATGGACATCCGATTATACAGCATATTGCGCTCTATGCAGCCGAACGACATCAATGGTAGAGGGCGCTATCGATGAGACGAATCCGTTTCGTCCATAGTGCCATCTACTGTTGATGTCGTTCGGCTGCATAGCGCACTATAGGCGACCTATGAGCTCCGTGCGCTACCAAAAGAGGGCGCCCTTTTACCTAACAACAACGTCCCATGGGCGGGACATTTCGCCGGTTGACGCGCACCGTTCCTTGGGTGTGACGCACGTACACCAGGGGGTTTGTACTATTTACACGCAGTGGCCGCGCTTCGCGGCAAATGAATTGCAGTCAGCCAAGATGGCATCGGTCGATCACCCCCAACTGTACTTCCTTTGCCGGTGAGGGGGTGTTTGTGAACAGAGCGGATATGTAAACGAACATTATATCAATCCAGTCTTGGACCAAAACTAATTCAACCTAAGCTACAGTCTTCGAGTGAATAACTACAATGGTTCGATTTTAAAACTTCAATTTTTACGAACTTCAAAACACTAGAGGGGCCATCAATCGCAACTGTAAAAAAAAAATTGTTTTTTTTCTTGTCATAAAACCCCGAAGTCAATTTAACACTTTCGCCATTGTAACTTGAATGAAAATCCTAGGGTTAACTTTCTCAACAGCAGTTGTCAAAGCTTCCCTAAATCAAAGGATAAAAAATATCAGACATCGATAAACATAAAACTAATTAAAAGTTTAAACCACGATCAGTTTGTCGTAATAAGCTTAGTAAAAACAAGAAATTTTACATAGGAATTATAATTTGCATAGAGTGTTGTAAGACGAATTTCACGCAAACGGTGCACACTACTGTAAATGGGCAATTCCTTGGTATTGTAACTAATTTTATTTAATTTCCAATGTAAAAAAAATACATATTCTTCGCGTTTTTTTAATTTGAAGAACACATTTAGACTTATAAAATGAACTTGTTTAAAAACAAATTAATAATTTGAGTGACCAGTTAATAATCTTAGTGTGCAACATTTTAGTACAACATTTAGTGTGGGTTGTTAACAAGATTCGTGTATATGCTAACCGTTCTACCTATTTAACCTCCGCATACACTTCGAGGCCTATTGCTTGACAGCACAAAAAGGAAAATAATGTACCCGATACGGATTCCTCGTTATTATTCACCATTGATGATCTCTGCCAGTCAACTAGACTCTTGGTATTGGTAAGTCTAAGAAACATTTCTATATAATAAAACGGCAGGAAAGTCTTCCAATTGAAGCGTAGTTAAATTTTAATTAATGGACTTTTTCGCGTTAAATTTTTTTTTTACTCGTAATACCTCTTCGGTACAATTTGGCGTCTTAACTCGACAAAGAGTTCATTAAGATTAAGTTCACGTTAAGCATATAGCTTGCTGAGCAAAATACCACGTGTCTTTTTGAGACTGTTTCAATCAATCAATTAATCAATGAATCTTACTCTATTTACCACATCACAATACAGAACGATATGCCAAGAAAATCATAAGATCACAATAATGTGGATGGGGGTCTCTAAAAAGCAAGGCTTGTTGAGTAGTGACCCCACATAAGTCATCAATTAAATTAATTAGTTTATTTAATGTGAGTTACAACAATTACATTACACACATACACAAACCACATACGGATACACCAGACAATTTACTACAAGGGGACATGAACATGACGAGTAACATGACGAGTAAACCCGTTATACATTATTAATTTAAAAGTAATTATAAGTAAGTATTTAGCAAGTGAGCCTTATATTTATGTTTAAATAATGATTGACTGCAAATACTTTTAATGACGTATCCAGCGAATGCCATAATTTGGAAACCTCATGCTTTACTGTCATTGTAGCAAGTTTAGTGGAAAAAAACGGTGGAATTCAGTACATTGCCTTGTAAAATAGTGATGAATATTTTCATTTCGAGACTCATTGCAAAACAAAATTGTGACTTGGCATTTCTTTGGGAGGAAAGCGTATGAAAATATGTGCTCTGGGAAGCCGGACCCAGGGGCATTTTATTTTTTGAGTAAATGAAATTGAAATTCTATAATGTTGCTTTGCATTCTCAGTGAACGTTCATGCAACGATTGAACACAAATATTCCATCGGATTTCCATTTTTTTTGTCTGAGTATTTTCTGTAAGCAAGTAATAGTTGAAAGCAAAATGTAAATGAATAGGTCAATAAAAGATTTGTTTATCACATTCCAAAAACACTTCAATCTTCTAAATACTGGATCTCAAAAATTCCGATACATTGAAATCATCTTTAAAAACAATGTCATGAATATCACTCATTGAAGTAGCCTGTAATTAACACTAATCAAACGATATACAGGATTTTATAATTTAGTCAAAAGTCTGTCAGGTATCAAATTTGAGTAAATATTGAGCAAGGAATGTTGTGTAATGATGTGATATCCAAAAACTAACTACTCAGAAGCTTCTAAACTACTGCGCGGTAACACTATGTACTTTGTACTTAATCTCATATTATACTCCATTGTAACATACACATATCAAAGTTCACGAATCCAATATTATACTGATAGTCGCCTTCACAACAAGAGTCTACGTGAAATCCATGACTGACAATTACTATCCTCATCTGAACGGTTGAAATAAAATTCTCTCTGCAAAAGAGTTTTGGTATTATTAACATACTTGAGATCATGTACATTTCTTAGTTATAACACAAACTTGTCGGCAACAATACCGTTAGAGCAAACTGTTTAGAAGTGAATATTAATGCAATACATGAAGTGTTTGAACAAGTGTGAAGAATACATCATTTTACACAAATCACTACAATCCCTTTAGTTGCACAATATGAACAAAATACTTTTAACCCTCCAATTGCAATGCAATATAATGTAACTGAAATTTGCAAAAAGTAGCTGTTAATTGAGCTGCGAAAATACTTTATATCTAGTAAAATGTATCGATACTCTATTTTTTATAAAGAAAAAAAAGAAATATATGTATAAATGAATGTGTTGTGGGGTTTGCAATTAAAACTGTTGCAATTATGTCTAATTCTAAGGTTCAAAATCTTCTGAGCAATTTATTGTAGATTCTCACTTAATTATGATCATGCTCTGACATTTTTAAACTATGAATTCATGAGGCCAACTGGTCCATAACACTATTAAAAGAAGCAGACTAAAGGCTTACAGTATTTCTGCTAACTTACATATTTAGGTCTTCGGTTCAAAAGGTTTGGCTTTCTGCATCTGTTTCTTTTCTGACATGTGGCAGTGTTGTAGTCGAGACCATCACAAGACCAGACACAAGACCAGCCACAAGTAACAGGGCACCAACAATGACACAGGAATGCCTTTGTTGTAGTTCATTTGAATAGCTTGTGACTTGGACTGAGACTGGAGGTCTTGTGTTGGTCTTGCAGGGTCTCCACTACAACACTGATATGTAGGCAGGAATGCAATTGCTTCATTAAAAATTGATCTCATGCACTATACGCTTCTTGTATAAGCCTATCATTAAAGACCACTTAATGAGAGTAGTTTTGTTATTGAAATTCAGTGCGTGACAATACCCCCCAAAAAAGGTTTCTGCTCTTGCGTAACTTAGTGGAACAAAGACCTGCCTCAGATGTGACGTATTAGGTGCAAGGGGACTTTTGGTTTGACTTTTAACAATCTAGTTACTGTTGCAATAGGCCTTCATTAACTCATGGCTATTCACCAATTGCATGTTCTGTATATTTTCATGGGTGAATAGCATATGCAAACATTCACTCGTTTCCCCGTCCTATCGAATTGAAGGGCACTGGCGTCCACTTATTCCTTGCCCAAATTATTGTGAAGGAAACGCACAAGGTCACAAATCATTAATTTGGGGTAGATCACTTGTGCACATGATAAATACACGTTATGTTCACACGGAAGTGTTAAACCTGAGTCACTGGTTAAACAAAATCCGTCCAATGAGAACCGAAAGAAGTTACCAACGCCCTTGGTTAAGGCAATGGGAACGAGCAAAGTACAAACATGGCATCCCACACAGTCAACCTTAAAATTAATGAAAGATACTACATCGAACGAGAACCGATTGCATGACAGTTACTACTACGAATACATTTGAATGACTCATGTTATTTAGCTTCCGACCCTGACCTTGCCTTTATGCAACACGTACTTGATCGAAAAGTACATAAGCCCACAAACTACAAGTACAGCTAGCACACCACTGCATGCATCGCGCTAGGGGCCGAATATAGCTTTACGTATTGAAACATAATCCAAATCCACTGAGTACAGCCATTCAGCAACGATATGGCTTCATCCAGAAATGCAACCACCCGCCAGTACGACCACGACAGTTGGGGCTGGGTAATGGTGGCCACAGCGTTCACCTGCTGTTTGGTTCTCTATGGTAACTTGAAGGCGCTGGGTGTCCTCCTCATTCCGATGACCAACGACCTGGCAAGCGACCTGTGGCTGGTCGGATGGGTTGCAGTGTTGTACGATATTATGCATAATTGTATGGGTAAGTACACACGCATGCATGAACACAGACTTTGCCAACAGTAGCGTGGCCGAGGTTTTAAACTTTCAGCATTGAGAGTAGAATCTTTAAAGCAAGGTATTTACTTAAGAAATTGAGAATGTGTCCCATGATTCGAAAAGCAAGTGACTTGTGTTCTATAAATAAAATTAATGATCTATCTAGATAAGTCTTTCCTTTAACAAGAGTGGAAAAACCAACGGCCTCTAATAACTTTGCTCAGCACGTAGCTCTCGTGTACGGTGGCCCTGGAACGACATTTTAATATTGACTTCTTTTTTTTATTATTATTATTGGTTTATTTCATAAAACAAAATTGTATATTAAAAATGCACAGTATGGTAACCGGTAGGTTGAATTGCACTTTACATTCGTACATCACAAGAATTATATCTTAAGAAGGGTATAAAAATAGATTCGTGAAAGATTGCGATTAAACGATTTACACATTAAGTCAATCTGGGCATCCCATTTGAGATTCTCCTGAACATAAACTCCAAGAAGTTTAAGGCAAGTATTTTGGTTGACCGACAAATCGTCTATGTAAAACTGAGGGTTGACAGGAGGCCGCTGAAAACAGACAATCATAAAATTGCACTTCGTTGGGTTTAGCATATTTTTAATATGAACCTTGTAACTTTTTAATATTGACGTTGTACCTTCGCAATATGCACGTTGCACGTAGCTTAATATCGCATTGTGGAAGTTGTTCCTTTTTTATGTGAATGTTGCAACTTGTTAATGTTCACGTTCGATCTTGTCAATGTACACCATTGATCATGCTTGATGTCATCGTTGCACCTTGCTTCTTCGCAATATGAACCATGCATGTTCCCATTATTAACGTTCGACCTTGCATCTTGTTAATATCATTGTTGAACCGTCCTCCTTCGCAATGTGAATCATGCATTCTAAAAAGTACGAAGTCCTTGTCAAGCCCTATAGTTAAACAACCAGTTATGATGGAGTTTGAATCTGACAGCTGTTTAATGTCACTTAACCTGGGTCTACCTTGTAGTGATTTTTATCATGAATCAAGGCTCTCTGATTTATTTCACATATCTTTTATAATTCATGTTCAGGCTAATGAGCGCTGTTTCACTAGAAAAGATGTGTTCAATTCATGAGACTAATTAATTTCTTGACGGTATACTCTCCGTCAAGTACAATAATGCAAAACAGTGTTCTGTGATCACACTAAGAAGGCTTTTATCTAATACTTTACATCCTTCAAGCCCTATTCAGATTTGTTTTGTGTTTTTAATCATAGTTACGAGAGATTTCCGTCGAGATCCGCGTGTTTAATTAGTATAAGAGTATGGTCTACAGATGTAATTGAAAGGAACATCATTTATATGCGGTGGTACCGTTACGAAATAAAATCCACGTCTTATAAAGCATGACAACAATAGTAAGGTCATACATTGATATTTATTACTTCGGGGAAATATCGGGGATTGCACCAACGGTCCCATTTCCATCAATCATTGTAAAAGCAATAGCGCGCGGGGCACAGGTGGCTTCGGTCAATTATTTAATTGTTTATTCAGTGCATACACCCGCAACACACTCGAGCTTGTCTAGGGGCTACACGTTTTTATGGTTGAGCACGAATCACGTGTTGCCGGGGCACCCTATACGAAGTTGTTTGCTTGGAGTTCATGCATACATGACTGGTCGTCAGCCAATTGCGAATATTCTTCATGTTGCGGTCAGGCGCGGATATCCGGGCCACGTGTAAACGTGTAAACGAAAAAAAAATCAAATCCGTTTAGAAATTTTCCCAAACGTTTAAACGGAACTCAAATTTCAAAAATGGGACCTTGTATTTTGCGCAATTTACCCTCCAGTTTTATTTAAAAAGAATCTACGATGTTTATTTTGTTTAACTTATAAAGAATTAGAAACGCATTTTATAGTTGATCACGTTCCAAGAAGTTTTATTAATACATTGTTCCATGATCAGCAACTGTTTTGTGTCAAATTGATACACAGTATATACAATTGGTTGTGTTTGATTTTTTTCAATACGCCGCTGGGCCGAGATCGATGCCGGGCGGGGATGTTCCCTCTCCTAAGGTTATTCTGATTAAAATACCGAATTTTAAAACAATTCCGAGTCTGTCTTTTTTCTGTATTTTTCTCTGAATGTGCTTGTATTTGCTGAAATCATCACTTGGTGTGTGCAGTAATCAAACCAATGGCTAGCACTTTCATAATGATTTTAAAACCGGCGAGGAAAACAAGTTTACCCTGCTCCCCCGTAAGCTACTCAAGTGAAGGCGTTATTTAAAACGATGTATTTTTGATGCATTGGGATTATTCCCCCCCCAAGTGCTGTAAAGTCCGCCGCTCCCTTAAAAAAAGTTACTGCCGCTTCCGTAACAAGGAAATCGATGACGATGATCCAGAATGTGTTTGGTGTTGGCGGGGGTAAAATAAAAACTATTTTTTGGATCTTAGGGCGGGAGCTGAGGGGCGGTGGCATATTACGGGATCTATTATAGGAAGGAAATTGCGGTTTTTTTTAAGAGCGATATCAACGTAGATTATTTGCTCGTTTTACGCAAAAGTGCACCCCTCCCCCTTGAAAATATATTGTGATACGTAAAAAAAAATCTACCTCTGTAGGAACATTATTAAATGTTGCTATCATTGGCAGAAAAACCTTCCTGTATATAAAAATTACATCGAAATATAAAATTGTTGGATATTTATTATTTTTTTTAACATTTAAATTTGGTTGCCTGACGACCAAAGGATGCATGTAGAACGTAAAATACAGACCCATTGGTAAGGGCATTTTTTTTAAATTCTTGTCAGTTAACATTTTTCCCAACGGCAAGTAATGGTAACGCAGTCGTCAAAAAAAGGCCCCTGTCAAGTTGGTTTAGAATAAAATCTGGACAAGCAATACTGGCCTTACTGTTCTTCAGTCCAGTTTTTAAAAAGACTTGCATTCAATTAATTATTTGGAATATCAACCCCCCCCCCAATAAAAACCAACAACAAAAAAAGAAAATACATTTATTTATCATTTATTCATGTACATGTACACGATACAGGCCTTTACAGGGGTGAAATTCCATGTTTATTTCAGTTACTTTTCCTCACTTTTCGTATAAACTTTTCCCCGGCCTTTGAAAAATAAATGCCCAAATAAAATCCAGCTCCGAAAAAGCCCTTCCAGAGAATGATTGACAGCGGCATTCTCCAAATTGATACAATGCCGCTCTCGTTGTTACAAAGTATATGCGGTTGGGTTCAGCTGTAGGCCATCGAACTTTAAATCCTTTGATGACTTGCCGCCAGTAATTGGAAGATTTTTAGATGATAAACAGCGATGATAGTATCTCAGCCAATGAAATGAGCCGGTTACCGGCAAATAAATACGCCATTGGTTGCTTTCATCACGGGTCCGTCTGCTTTCATGAAAATGACGTTCCTTCCACCAAGCGGCGGAAACTTCAGGTTGCCTAGAAATAATGTTGCTAGGAGGCTCCCCTGTGATGGCTGGGCTGGGACTGCCAGTTGCGTAGCAAGAAATCATATGTGACTATTTTTCTGGCAGCCTGCAGATAACTAGCAGCTCAAGAATGCTGCCGCTTTTGGGAAATTTGTGCAGGCAAAGTTTTTCATATTTTGGAATTTGGATGCAGTTTGCATTCCGTTAAATAAAAGTTTTGTTTGTTTGTTTTTTAACGAAAATTGGGGCTTAAAAAATATAAATAAACGATCTTCCTCAGGCCTTGACATTTCTTGAGTGTATGTTCATTTGATTCGACAACACTTGCAGAATGCAGACGATTCTTTTCTTCTTAATATATTTAGCCTGCAGACTTCAAAAGAACATGGAAAAAAAGGTGGTTAAAGTGTATATAAATGTGACCGCAGTTATGGCACATTAAACTGGGACACAGGCGGCAGTCTTTTTGAAGTCTTGACTAAACGTTTAAACGTTTAAACGCTATGGGAAAATTTTGCTAAACGTTTATCAAATTAAACCTAGATTCACATCCTTAATCCGGGGGGGGGGGGTATGTAGGGTTCGACTTAGCAGTAGCCCGAAAACCAAATGCTCGTCAAAACAGCGGGGATCCTCATACTATTTGGTAAGGAGCCCTGTTGGCGAGCCAAAAATTATTGGGATATGGCAAAGATGAAAGTACAGGAAGAAAGAAATCATTACATTCAGAAAGCAAACCGGTATAAATTTGTGTATAGTAAACGGTTGAAATGATTAGATCGGGTTATTTGAAACAATGACAAATTTGCTTCAGGATGCATGTTTCTACATGTATGCCCAACCTTGGGTTATGGTTAGCCTGAACATGAATTATAAAAGATGAGTGAAATAAAACAGAGAGCCTTGAGTCATGATAAAAAATCACTACAAGGTAGACGCCCAGGTTAAGTGAGATTAAACAGCCGTCAGATTGAAACTTCATCATAACTGGTTGTCTAACTATAGGGCTTGGCAAGGACTTCGACCTTTTTTAGAATGCATGATTCACATTGCGAAGGAGGACGGTTCAACAATGATATTCACAAGATGCAAGGTCAAACGTTCACAATGCGAAGGTACATGGTTCATATTGCGAAGAAGCAAGGTGCAACGTTGACATGAAGCATGATCAATGGTGTACATTGACAAGATCGAACGTGAACATTAACAAGTTGGAACATTCACATTAAGAAGGAACAACTTCCACAATGCGATATTAAGCTACGTGCAACGTGCATATTGCGAAGGTACAACGTCAATATTAAGAGGTTACAAGGTTCACATTAAAAAGGTCAATATTAAAATGTCGTTCCAGGGCCACCGTACTCGTGTGCGGCAGGCTTAAAAGTGAAGAGAATTGGATGTTCCATAATACAAACACGCAGGAGGCAGGCATGTCTTTGTCATGGGTTTTGCGGTTCATTGCGTTTGTAATAATATACAGACCAACACGGATCCTAGACACCATGATAAACGACTGTTCTGAGCTCAAATACAAAATGCACATCTGTGGACTTGCCTTTATTGGTTAGACGCGTTATAACGGGCAGAACGGATTAACTCACCAATGAAAGGACATTATTCTCGTTTGTCGGTCAGGCTTTGAGGCGATTTGCCCAAAAATATCTGAAAATCACGTGTACAGAGTACGTGATTTCATGGGCTGGTTATTTCTTTTAAAGGGAATGTACAACAATTGCTTTTGCTGCAATTTTCAGAAATAAATGGATTTGGAGGATAAGTATGTGTTAGCAAATATTGTTAAAATGACTTGTTTCACGTTTTGGGCTTGTAGATGTTGGAAGAACCAAGAAAACCATTCATGTTCTTGTAGTCTGGTTCCCAGACCCCACTTAAGATGAAACGGAGAATTTATAGGCTTTGGGGAATTGTAAGATTAGAGAGTCAGTCTTGAAGGCTTGTACCCCTTCACAGTTGTGTAATCAATTGCAAAGAAAACACGGAATAACTAAATATGAAAAATTAGGAGCAGTTTTGAAAAAAAAGCCAGTTTTCTCCAACGCTGGTCGACCGACCAGCGTTGGAAAATTACCATTTTTCTTGAAAATGCCAGCACACCAGGAGCCACGATTTACAGGATGCTTTAGACTGTCATTCCCTAACAATCCAGCAAGGTATTTAGTGATAATTTGATCATTTCGTTTTGTAATGTTTGCAAATGATGTATCTTCCCTTTAAGCTCAGCACCCCTAGAAATCAAACAGGATAGATATTTGCCTCACGGCCTTGCGAGGCAGAAAACTTAGGACAAATTCACCATACACGGGGATATTGTGTGAGCCATACGTGCTGAGCCAACGGCCTCGTATGACCTTCTTTGCTCAGCACGTAGCTCTCGTGTGCGGCGGGCTTTATAGTACCCAACAAAAAGTCGAATACATTTACGAATCTTTGTACCACATCGTACCAAAGTTGTATCTAGGCTGTGAGGTCAAGTGTACAGAGTAATTTATTGTGTTTTAGTGAATGTTTTTAGTGTTAACTTCAGGAATCAGTATTTCAACAGCACAATTTAACCTAACGTGCATTCCTTCTTACGGAATATTTTTTTTTAAAGATGTCCCTCACAGATTGCCGCTATACGCATGAGGTCTTTTTGTTCTGTCCTGACGCATTTTTTTATACCATTGAATGGTAGGTCAACACCACTGTGATCGCGATTAAGAATTACTATTTGTCCTTGTCTCGGCAGGGCCTGTTGTCGGAGCACTAAGTCGCTTGCTGGGCAGCCGTCCCATGATGGTGTTTGGTGGACTTCTCACTACGCTAGGCTTCATGTTAACGTCAATATCATCCAACGTTTTCGCTGTGGCTGTTTTTATTGTTGGATTATCAGGTACAATTATATCCCCGGTCAATATCAAGAACAGATGTAATACATTTTTAAGTAAATGTTGCCAAAGGTTGAAGACTGAGTGGCCAGAAACTACACTCAACCAAAAAAGAAAGTCCCCCTTCCGATACTTTTTTGTCTACTTACTAAAAACTACTGAGCACCTCTCGCTCAAATGACGACTAATCAGTACAGAAATTCCTTAGCAATCCAGTCATTCTCTTTATTTGGCCCCAAACAGTGATAATGTATATGCAATCTATGACCAATGATACAGAAAACAGTTGCACCTTTGTATACGTTCAAGTTGTGGTTCACACTCAACTTGCAAGTATACAAAAGTGCAATTTTTTTCGGTACCATTTGTCATAAATTGCATAATTTTGCTTACACATTATCGCCGCTTTGGGTCAAACGAAGAGTAATTCTGGATTGCTAAGAATGTTTGTACTGATTAGTTGTAATTTGAGCAAGATGTGCCCAGTAGTTTTTGAGTTAGAAAAAAAAGTGTTAGGGGGGACTTTCTTTCTTGGTTGAGTTTTTGTCCATATTAATCTTAGTGGCTTTCAAAATAAAAAAAATATTACTTCTTTCTAACCTAGCTTGCAATAAAAAAATATTAGGCCTACAATAAAGACACTTTCACACTAGTTATACGAGCCTGTTGATGATTTCTAGCTACCAGATTGAATTTACTGCAAACATCCTATTGGCCATGCTCAAGACCAGACACATTTTTGTTGCAGGTATAGGGACTGCATTTAGTACGTTCATCAGCTTGGCACTCACGGCTTCGTACTTCAAGGACAAATATCCACTTGCCAATGGACTATCAACAATGGGTGGTCCTATTGGGATGATAGCTTACGGACCAGTTACGCAGTTGCTTCTGGGCACCTATGGCTGGAGAGGAACCATGCTCTTAGTGGGAGGTATCTCGTTTCATCTAGTGGCGTGTGCTATGTTGGTGCGACTGGATCCATCTTCCTCCTCACCAGACAATGAACAGTACCAAGAGGTTTCGGTAAACGATGGGGACGAAAACCAGTCGGCGGGAGAAGTCAGAGATTGTACTGATGACAAAACTGATAACTCAAAGAAGTGTTGCTGCGATCCAGACCATCGACAATATAGGACTGGAATGTGTTGCCGAAACATTGTGAAAGCAATTGATATGGCTTTGCTGACAGATGTCAGGTTTGTTTTGCTAACTTGTGCGAGATGCACAGCCAATTTTACCTATAGTGCATGGGTGGTTTACATGGTGTCGCACGGGCAGTTTCAGGGCCTTAGTGAAATTCAAGCTTCGTTTCTGCCCACTGCGTTCGGTGTTGGCAACGTTATCGGAAAGTTGGTATTGCCACTCCTGCAGCAGATCGGCATTAAACCGTCCATGACATTCTGGGCGTGTTTTGGGGCAGGTATCGTCAGTGTATCGTTCCTCCTTGACGCCTTCATCAGACCTTTCATCGGACAGTTAGCTCTTACTGGATTCGTAGGCGTTGGTTACGGTGTGTTTTTTCAAGCCCTTGACGTCATGGTACGGTTTCTTGTGAGTGATCACCGGTTTGTTAGTGTCCTGGGATGGCAAGGAATGTTCGTTGGCGTTGCTGGGACACTCGGTGGATTGATATCAGGTTGGTTCGTTTAACATATGTTTTTAATACAGAGGAGCAGTGCGGTGCACCATTTTAGTTTACATCGATAACTTGTACTTTATTGTTTTGGTTGCAGAAGCTCAGGGGGAAAAAACTATAAAAAGTCCCGTGTCAGTTTGACCTGGTAGCCGAGTTATTGAGAGTGTAAATTTTACCAGCCCAGCGCTGCGTGTCTTTATGCACCCAGGGTCGACTTCGTTGTTTAGCGTTGTGTGAATTTTTCTTCTTGCCAACAGGTTTTTTTCTGACGGGGGGTAGGGTGTACAGATTTCTTTCATTGAAACTAAAGTACAAATAAATGTCTTTTTTTCACAGGATGGATTTACGAGTGGACGGGAGGTTTCAGTATAGTTCTCTGCGTGTTTGCTGGAGTGACGTTGCTTTCTATTCCCTTCTTCGTTACCGAAGCTCTATACGCCAAGCGAAAGGCGCTCTAACATGGATCATATTCTAAAAATTTTGGATCCTATAATTTTCGTTTCTCTTGTCCCTGTTGCATCCGTGTACGATTTTGTTAATGCTGGATGAACCCCTTAATGCCCTTTACCCAAAAAGTGTTTGTCAGGCCAATCACCTAACCAACAGTTGAGAATAGTTTGAGCTCATGTTTATAATGATACTAAAAGGTTAAAAAGTTCCGAGTTATCAGGAACAGGAACAATGTAACACATTGGACCCGAAATTTATAACATGATCATGCGTTTGTGTGACAGTTAAGGTGCATGCATGGACAGCCGATTATACAGCATATTGCGCTCTATGCAGCCGAACGACATCAATGGAAGAGCGCGCTATCGATGAGACGAATTCGTTTCGTCGATAGCGCCCTCTACTGTTGATGTCGTTCGGCTGCATAGCGCACCATATACGACCTATGAGCTCCGTGCGCTACCAAAAGAGGGCGCCCTTTTACCTAACAATGGGTGGGACATTTCGCCGGTGGACGCGCACCGTTCCTTGTGTGTGACGCACGTACACAAGGGGATTGTACTATTTACACGCAGTGGCCGCGCTTCGCGGCAAATGAATTGCAGTCAGCCAAGATGGCATCGGTCGGTCACCCCCAACTGTACTTCCTTTGCCGGTGAGGGGGTGTTTGTGAACAGAGCGGATATGTAAACGAACATTATATCAATCCAGTCTTGGACCAAGACTAATTCAACCTAAGCTACAGTCTTCGAGTGAATAACTACAATGGTTCGATTTTAAAACTTCAATTTTTACGAACTTCAAAACACTAGAGGGGCCATCAATCGCAACTGTAACACAAAAAAAAGTTTTTTTCTTGTCATAAAACCCCGAAGTCAATTTAACACTTTCGCCATTGTAACTTGAATGAAAATCCTAGGGTTAACTTTCTCAACAGCAGTTGTCAAAGCTTCCGTAAATCAAAGGATAAAAAAATCAGACATCGATAAACATAAAACTAATTTAAAGTTTAAACCACGATCAGTTTGTCGTAATAAGCTGAGTAAAAACAAGAATTTTTACATAAGAATTATAATTTGCATACAGTGTTGTAAGACGAATTTCACGCAAACGGTGTACACTACTGTAAATGGGCAATTCCTTGGTTTTGTAGCTAATTTTATTTAATTTCCAATGTAAAAAAAAATACATATTCCTCGCGTTTTTTTTATTTGAAGAACACATTTAGACTTATAAAATGAACTTGTTTAAAAAAAAACTAATAATTTGAGTGACCAGTTAATAATCCAAGTGTGCAACATTTTAGTACAACATGCAGTGTAAGTTGTTAACAAGATTCTTATATATGCTAACCGTTCTACCTATTTAACCTCCGCATACACTTCGAGGCCTATTGCTTGACAGCACAAAAAGGAAAATAATGTACCCGATACGGATTCCTCGTTATTATTCACCATTGATGATCTCTGCCAGTCAACTAGACTCTTGGTATTGGTAAGTCTAAGCGAAATGTCTATATAATAAAACGGCAGGAAAGTCTTCCAATTGAAGCGTAGTCAAATTTTAACTAATGGACTTTTTTGTGTTAAAAAAAGATTTTTACTCGTAATACCTCTTCGGTACAATTTGGCGTCTTACCTCGACAAAGAGTTCATTGAGATTAAGTTCACGTTAAGCATATAGCTTGCTGAGCAAAATACCACGTGTCTTTTTGAGACTGTTTCAATCAATCAATTAATCAATGAATCTTACTCTATTTACCACATCACAATACAGAACGATATGCCAAGAAAATCATAAGATCACAATAATTTGGAGGGGGGTCTCTAAAAAGCAAGGCTTGTTGAGTAGTGACCCCACATAAGTAATCAATTAAATTAATTAGTTTATTTAATGTGAGTTACAACAATTACATTACACACATACACAAACCACATACAGATACACCAGACAATTTACTACAAGGGGACATGAACATGACGAGTAACATGACGAGTAAACCCGTTATACATTATTAAAAGTAATTATAAGTAATTATTTAGCAAGTGAGCCTTATATTTATGTTTAAATAATGATTGACTGCAAATACTTTTAATGACGTATCCAGCGAATGCCATAATTTGGAAACCTCATGCTTTACTGTCATTGTAGCAAGTTTAGTTCGTGAAAAAAAACCCGGTGGAATTCAGTACATTGCCTTGTAAAATAGTGATGAATATTTTCATTTCGAGACTCATTGCAAAACAAAATTGTGACTTGGCATTTCTTTGGGAGGAAAGCGTATGAAAATATATGCTCTGGGAACCCGGACCCAGGGGCATTTTATTTTTTGAGTAAATGAAATTGAAATTCTATAAATTTGCTTTGCATTCTCAGTGAACGTTCATGCAACGATTAAACACAAATATTCCATCGGATTTGCATTTTTTTTTTCTGAGTATTTTCTGTAAGCAAGTAATAGTTGAAAGCAAAATGTAAATGAATAGGTCAATAAAAGATTTGTTTATCACATTCCAAAAACACTTCAATCTTCTAAATACTGGATCTCAAAAATTCCGATACATTGAAATCATCTTTAAAAACAATGTCATGAATATCACTCATTGAAGTAGCCTGTAATTAACACTAATCAAACGATATACAGGATTTTATAATTTAGTCAAAAGTCTGTCAGGTATCAAATTTGAGTAAATATTGAGCAAGGAATGTTGTGTAATGATGTGATATCCAAAAACTAACTACTCAGAAGCTTCTAAACTACTGCGCGGTAACACTATGTACTTTGTACTTAATCTCATATTATACTCCATTGTAACATACACATATCAAAGTTCACGAGTCCAATATTTTACTCGATAGTCGCCTTCACAACAAGAGTCTACGTGAAATCCATGACTGACAATTACTATCCTCATCTGAACGGTTGAAATAAAATTCTCTTGGCAAAAGAGTTTTGGTATTATTAACATACTTGAGATCATGTACATTTCTTAGTTATAAAACAAACTTGTCGGCAACAATACTGTTAGAGCAAACTGTTTAGAAGTGAATATTAATGCAAGGCATGAAGTGTTTGAAAAAGTGTGAAGAATACATCATTTTACACATATCACTACAATCCCGTTAGTTGAACAATAGGAACGAAATACTTTTAACTCTCCAATTGCAATGCAATATTATGTAACTGAAATTTGCAAAAAGTAGGTGTTAATTGAGCTGCGAAAATACTTTTATATCTAGTTAAATGTATCGATACTCTATCCTTTTTTTTATAAAGAAAAAAAAAGAAATATATGTATAAATGAATGTGTTGTGGGGTTTGCAATTAAAACTGTTGCAATTAAGTCTAATTCTAAGGTTCAAAATCTTCTGAGCCATGTATTGTAGATTCTCATTTAATCATGATCATGCTCTGACATTTTTAAACTATGAATTCATGAGGCCAACTGGTCCATAACACTATTAAAAGAAACACACTGTAGGCTTACAGTATTTCTGCTAACTTACATATTAGGTCTTCGGTTAAAAAGGTTTGGCTTTCTGCATTCTGTTTCTTTTCTGATATGTGGCAGTGTTGTAGTCGAGACCATCACAAGACCAGACAGGAATGCCTTTGTTGTAGTTCATTTGAATAGCTTGTGACTTGGACTGAGACTGGAGGTCTTGTGTTGGTCTTGCAGGGTCTCCACTACAACACTGATATGTTGGCAGGAATGCAATTGCTTCATTACAAATTGATCTCATGTACTATACGCTTCTTGTATAAGCCTATCATTAAAGACCACTTAATGAGAGTAGTTTTGTTATTTAAATTCAATGTGTGACAATACCAAAAAAAACAGGTTTCTGCTCTTGCGTAACTTAGTGGAACACAGACATGCATCAGATGTGACGTATAAGGTGCAAGGGGACTTTTGGTTTGACTTTTAACAATCTGGTTACTGTTGTAATAGGCCTTCATTAACCCATGGCTATTCACCAATTGCACGTCCTGTATATTTTCATGGGGGAATAGAATATGCAGACATTTACTCGTCTCCCTGTCCTATCGAATTGAAGGGCACTGGTGTCCGCTTATTCCTTTCCCTAATTATTGTGAAGGAAACGAACAAGGTCACAAATCATTAATTTGGGGTAGATGACTTGTGCACATGGTAAATGCACGTTATGCTCACACGGAAGTGTTGAACCTGGGTCACTGGTTAAACAAAATCCGTCCAATGAGAACCGAAAGAAATTACCAACGCCCTTGGATAAGGCAATGGGAACGAGCAAAGTACAAACATGGCATCCCACACGGTCAACCTTAAAATTAATGAAAGATACTACATCAAACGAGAACCAGTTGCATGACATACTACGAATACATTTGAATGGCTCATTTTATAATCCCTCTTCATTGTTATTTAGCTTCCGACCCCGACCTTGCCTTTATGCAACACGTACTTGATCGAAAAGTACATAAGCCCACAGACTACAAGTACAGCTAACACACCACCAACAGCAATCGCAGCTATGATGCCCCCATCTAGCCCTTTCTTCTCTCCATCTTCTACGTCAATGCAAATAGGAAGGTCAGAAGACCACTGACCATCCTTAAGACAAGTCAGACTAGAAGACCCTTTCAAGGAAAAGCCATCATCACAAGCCACATCCACAGTGGCGTTAACGAGATACACAGTCCCTGACAGCTTTCCGTTCTCCACATCACCCGGGTAGCCACAACTGACAATCTTCACCAACCCTTTCTGGACTTCACTTATTGTGCTTTCCACCACCAGAGTCTCGTTAGCAAAAGACAGGCTGCCGGTGATTACCGCATCGAAGACACACTCAATGGAATCGCCACACAGGTCCTTGATTTCCTGACTCACTTTGTTCAGATCAGGAACCTCGAAGTTCGGGGAAAACTCAGGAAAGTGGTATGTGTTGTAGTCAAATGGGGAAATGTAGGTGAATATAGAGTCTTCTTTAGCCACCAACCACTCCAAACCATACTCGTGAAGTTCTTTCAGCGAAGAACCAGGCTGCATAATGGTTCCGTTTGGGAACTGAAGGTCGTCATCTGGATTTCCGTTTAGGTTACCAAGAAGCCCGGAAACCCGACCTTCGAACTTGGTATCCAGTTGAGCGATGAAAGACATCACCTCGGTATCGATGTACACGGTGACAGCGATGCCAGCATTAAAGGCTATGTTGATTTTGGTCAAGTCAGAGTTGAAGCGGATTTGAACACCTCTGAGGTGATGAACTTTGAAAGGTATCGAGTCAAGATGCAATGGCTCACCATCTACAAGAATCAGTGTCTCCTTGACTTTTAAGGAATCGTTTGTTTGAAGAACGAATGCCATATCAGACATCTGTATCTGGACTTTGGAGGAATCGTTGGTTTGAAGAACGAATGCTGTGTACACAGAGGCGTTGGTGTTGCGGTACCTCTCCATACGGGCTTGAAAGGTTAAGTTATTTTCTGCAGATGACGCCATTAGAAATTCTCCTGCACCGTTAAAGGTGAACTTGTAGCCATCTAGACTTGTCAGATGGGGATCCCCAGTGCCCCCAGCCGGTCGAGGTGGTTCGTAGTCAGAACAGTCATCTGATGGCCTGTACTTGTAATAGTTGTTACAGTCGTTTGACAGTACACACGAGCAAAGCCAAGGAAGAACGTCGAACCATTGATGTTTCCAGAAATGTTCTCCCGGACTGTACCTGTCGGCTGTTCCTCCCCCACGGGGCCCAACAAGGATGTTACCGTCGTTCCCGTAGCAACACTGTTGGCCTGCTCCAGTCGGCAATGAATTAACAGAACGATAACAGTTCGCAGCACCCGGATGGAAGACGGAATTCATAAAATTCGCCTCCTGAAAATTAAGAATGTCTCGGTCAGCTTGTGCTGTGTTGCAGGGACACGAAGGAAGCCCAGTAGGCGTAGTATCCTTTAACTGGTACTTTGAAACTTCACATGTGATTGCAGTAACTATAATAACAGCTGGACCATAATGACGTAAGCGCAACAACAAACTCCCAATACTTCTTTGTCTTGTCATTCCAATTGGAGTAAGATAAAATGCTGTGAGTGACAAACCATCACTGGTGAGTGTTTCCAGGTCGCTTGCATGTATCGTCAGTCTTCCGTTGTTCAAGACATTGTTCTTCACTGCAACACCTTCCATCAAGACTGGATTACCGTCACTGTCGTAATCTGTGTCTTGCATCATAACAGTCACATGTGAAACGCCTTCACCAAGACTTCTGGGATCCCAAGATAAGACGATTGGGTCACCTAAGGTAAGGTCAATGATGCCATTGCCATATTCAGATGTCACTTGTTGGATTTGAACTAGTGGTGCGAGGTCTTCTTCGCCTGCAACGTACACAATGCCAGAGTACGGAAATGATTCACCATCGTCAAGCGAAACATAGACAGATGTAAGTCCGTTCGTGTAAAAGGTGGGGGTGATACAGACCACGGTATAAGAGTCGGTGCGTTCACCAGGAACCAGGACATCTCCGAAGCCAGTGGAAAATTTGCACATGGCATTTTGAAGGGATATAGCGTTTGTCTGCAAACAGGGAACAGTTACCGTAAAAAGCTCGCCACCAAGTTCTCGTAAATAGTACGGTGTCAAACTCAGCACTTGTTTATTGCTGGGGAGAGACAGACCAGCGGCGTAGCCATAGGATTCGGAACTCTCATACCCATAGACAATGACGGAGAGGGGTGATGAATAAGGATCTGTTTGTTCGACGTAGTAGACACCTTCGCCTTTAGGTAGTTGAACAGTAAGTGACATGTAACTAGTGTGAGGAACATCGCTTTCGTGTACATTTGTGCCGTTGATTAGGGAGCCGTTAAGATAAACGGTTTCCCGAGAATCGTTTTTCACAATGATATTGATGAAATTGAAGTAACCACCGGAATCACCTGCAGAATGAGGAGGGGTCGTGAATCCAAACACAAACCCAAAGTGTTCTTCTGCAGGAACCTGAATGATGGAGGGGTCGACTGTGATACCATTGATGGACGCCAAATGCTGCATCATCAGAGCGGGTTTGCTTGACGTAACGAGGCCGGAACCCGAAAGACGCCCTTCCCAAAATTCACCCGGTTCCAACGACTGGTGTTCAAGGCCGGGAATGGTAAGGTTTGTTTCGCTGAAATAAGCAACAATTCGGTAGATGTTGTCATCGTCACTTCGGGCCGCGGTGTACATGTGTTTCTGTCCCCAACTTTTAACTGGTACCAACTGCTCAGTCACTGTATCACAAGCTGAACCAGCGTGGTTTGTGCATTCATTGCCACTGAACACAGCAACTGGTTTGTCACTCTGAATGATGCTTCCAGTTACATCTACCAACATATTACCTTGGATTTGAACGGCTTCTAAGTTATTGACAGTGAATCTCAACACGTCACCTGGACTATAGCTCTGCCCTTGGAATGTAACAGCTCCCCGTACAGTAACCTGGACCAAAGTGGAATCCTCTGTCCCAAGTACAGCAAACTGCGATCGTTGATCACCCAATGGTCTTGACGTCGTCACCACGTATTGCATGCCAAGATTGTTTGTGGGTATGCAAAGAAAACCGTCAGTGGAGTAATCTTGATACATCAGACCGTAAGCAGAAACATCAGAGCTTGCTGAAATGTCCAGCACTTTTTGGCTTCTCTCTGTGTTTTCCATCACCAGTTCAACTGGTATGTTGGTCTTGATAAATCCACCAGCATCGATCACAAAGGTCTCCTGGAATGGTTTCCCTTCTGTTTCGTGCTTACTGCTGACGGTGACCGTGGTTTGCTGATTACTAAACGCCACCACCAAAATAAACAGCTCCCTGGATGCGAGGTAGCCGTCATTGATATTATCAATAAACCCAAGGACAAAGTGTTTACCTCTTGATATCCCAACGCATTGAGGCTGTTTGTTATCAGGTAACTCAAGATCCAGAGCCGAAGCAAGCATTTCGGGAAATGCAAGTGTCAATAAGATGACCAGCCAGAAATGATGTCTCTTCAGTAGATGCTTCATTCTATAGACACAAACAGAGCAATTATCTTACACAACATACAATTAACAAGATAATTAACTCTATAACACTTATTAGGATGTGGAATGAAATGGTTTTCAAAATCACATGTATTATGATTTTGAATTTTGTTTGGTACATGTTCTGAAAAAATGGATGAACGAGTTAAACCCGAAAACGAGTTATACCCGAAAACTGGTCAGCTGGTCCGTCTCACATAGACAGCTTCATTTTGTCAATGTAAGTTGGGACAGTCCAAAACAATAACTTAACATGAAGCTTATATTGTCGCATCCTGATTCTACGGCAGTTGATCTGCAACTGAGTTTCAAGTGACACCGCGTGTAAATAATTGCCTAACAGAACAAAGGGGTCTTACGTTCACTGAAAACAACTAAACTGTAACCGGCAGGGAGATATAAAGCCTCAGGATTTCGGCTACATGGTTAGTCAAGACCTCTGGCTTTAGGCGTAAGGATCGGAGGTTCAGGACTTTAGGTTTTATATGTAGAGCTGGGTGGTTAAGGTTCAGTTTGAAGTAAGTCAGTAAGTCAGGTACTGAGAGAAAAGTGGGCTGTCCCTTCGTGTCTAGCAAAACTGTGAGACTTTGTTTAACACTTGAATTTTGTATTTACTGGTGGGTCAAGCGGCGCTGCATAACAAAGTCATACCCATCGCACATTTAATCACGCAAGGCGTACAAATTACATTTGCTTTGAATACCTTACTGATTTACCGACCGACGACCGATTCATCGCAGGACAAAGGGGTCTAATTTTGTTACGTTCACTGAATACAGTTAAACTGTAACCAGCAGTGAGATAAAGCCTCAGGATTTCGGCGCCATGATTCAGGGGTCATTCATGGGGAGCTAAGACCTCGTTCTTTAGGCCTCAGGATCGAAGATTCAAGACTTTAAGTTTTATACCTAGAGCTGGGTCAGGGTGGTTAAGGTTGAGTTTGAAGTAAGTCAGTAAGTCAGTTACTGAGAGAAAAGTGGGCTGTTCCTTCAGTAAGACTTTGTTAAACACCTGATTTTTTTTTGGTACTGGTGGGTCAAGCGGCGCTGCTAAAACAGTCAATCCCATTGCATATTTAATCACGCAAGGCATTCAAATTACATTTGCTTTGAATACTTGACTGATTTACCGACCGACCTACCGATTCATCGCATGTTTCAATAATCAAAAACTGGATACAAAATCTTGTTCGATTGCTAATAATTCATCATTAACTGATGTATAAGTTTCCCTGGCTATTTGTTTTTAATTTTTCATTCAAACTCACTATTTGTAACATTCAATTTCGTCCGAGACAAATTTCACACGCATTTAACCCAACAAATTTAGTCATTTACCATTCAATTTCAAATTTGGTCACCCCGTTTAAACAGCAGGTCGACGATATTCGTCATTACAGATCATAGTCGTCTAGGCTGTTGTCGAATGGCAGCATTCAGAGATCAATTTATAGCTCCTGTTAAGTAAATTAGTCTGGTGCGTGACTTGAGCATTTTCCTTGTATAAATAAGCACAATTTGGCACATTCGCTCACATGTTTTTATGGGACCAAGCATGGAGTACTGAACTCATAGAACATTCACCCCAAAAAAGTGTAACAATCAACTTTTTTTTTTATAAACAAACAAACAAAAGCTAAGTCTTAGATGAAAGAAGAAAACAAAAACCACGAATCGATAACCCTGAAATCCCCGTGTAATGTGCCAAACATATTGAGTGTAAAATACTTTAAGAAGATAAATTGATGAAGAGACAAGAAAAGAAAAAAGTGGAGAATTATTTTTTTATATATACATGTATAGGCCTATGTTTTTCCTAGCTATTAAAAAAAAAACTCATTCAAAACTCACCAACTCTAATATTCGATTTCGTCCAAGAAAATTTCACAAGCTTTTACCAAAACCACCGTAGTCATTTACCATCACATTTCAAAGTTTGGTCACCCTCTTTAGTCACCTGGTCGAATATATTGGTCATTATTGATCAAATTAAGTCGTTGCTGAATGGCAGCATACATGGATCGAATTCGTCTGATGTTAATCAATTGAAAACGTATGTTAAGTAACTTAGTCTGATTTCCGCCTGAGCATTTTGCTTTGTCCCCCAGCACAGTTTGGCACATTCGATCGGACCAATTGGAGTGCAGAACAGCAGCGTACAGCTTTTGGTGCCAGGGGGCAAACACGTCTGAAAGCGTGTGTTCATTGTTTGAATGTACTTGCACTGAATTTGAAATTGTCTGACAAATTTAAATACGAAATTAACTTTTGGAAGTGCACCAAATCGATGTTGATAGGCGAATTTGAATATTAGAAACGGTGAAATCAAATGATAAACGTTTTAAAATAGCCGGGAAAACCTATAATAGTCGATCGACCAGACAGTCAGTCAATCCTTAACATCACTGAATGCATTAACAGCATTATTATTATTTTTGCAATTTCAGTACGTTAACGAAGGTGTAAAAACACAAACCTTCTACCAAGAGAGAGGGACAGCACTGGACATTATATTTCATTCTCACCTGGACAACGAATGACGTTTTAGCCGCAAACAAATGATTTGTCTAGAGAACCAACTGCTCGATCCTGTTTCAGATGTATTAAAGGCTTGCTCCTATAGAACCAAAGAGTATGAACGCAAAACACATTTTGCAAATTAGGCAAGTATGATCATGAGAGTCTCGAGAGGGTGCACGGGGGTCGTCCCCACCCCCCCCCCCCTCCCAAATGGAAAAGCAAGCAAAAACCAAAACACAAAAAGGAGGGGGGGGGAATAAAAGAAAAGAAGAACAAAAAGAAAAACAAGTGTGAAGTCATATTGCTATTAATTTCATACACATTTAACAAAATGGGCGTCCACAGGGGTGTCAATGGGGTAACGGTTGGCAAATTTTCCCCAGCCCACCCTCGACAAATCATAAGTGGTGAATATGCTAGAGAAAGTACAAGGGTTTTTCGGGAAACAAAACAAAGGTGCTTTGCCTCCCTCTAGAATAAAATCCTGGCGACGCCCATGAGTATGATACATGTTAAATTCGTATTTTAGAGGCATGAATAAAAAAAATAGTCACCTTTCGATTGTCTCCTCGTTCCCGTGGTAAAGCGCAGACGGCCTGTCGACACAATAAACAACCTCCCTGGCCAAGATATGTGTTACTGTACTCCCTTTATAGCTTTCAGCCCTGCTATAAAAGCTTCGTGGCTAGATCCGGTTCACTTTGATAGTCCATAGATTTTAATCTCGTGATAAATTATCGTGGGCAGATTGCAAAATTTGCTCGATGTTTTCTGGAAATTCCCGTAGATCATAAGGCCTGTTTTATCGGGAGGGCTAACTGTTTGATGAGAATTGTTTACACTCCAAGTTGTATGATAAACCATGACCTTGACGGCATTGAACCGCTGGCAGGAATTTACGGGGACGTCCCCTGTTTTAGATAAACCATTATGGTGACATAAAGCCGTAGGAAATCGATAACATGTTATCAGCTGCTTTGTTTACTTCGTAAAATCAACGTTTTGCCCTTTGCTCACGCTCTGAACAAACAAGCCTAGCGATGTCTAGTCTGAGTATCACCTGTTATCCACAGAGCAAGTCTAATTTATAACGTCTGATACGTCTAGACAAAACGAAATATGCAAGCCGCGCCCCGGCCCAGCCAATCGGAGTCGACTTTAGGAAATTTTATTGCCAAATCAGGACTAAATGTTTTGATTGGTCAATGCAGTGTTTTGTAATACAACGACAGCCGGGCGCATATGCGCGTAGCATGATACAGAGCGCATGTCGCAGCTTTTTTTCTATCCATTGTCTAATTAATCTTGCCTAATTAATCAGCGAATCGGCCCACAACCGTGTAAGCCGCGCCCCGGCCCAGCCAAGACAGTGAATATGGGAATTTTTCAAGACTAGTGGCTATGGGATTTGTTTTGCACTGTTGCACCCTTACCCTCAATGTAAGAGATCATGGCACCATGATCCATGATATTTTGAGCAGATATAGTCGCTGATTAATTATGCAAGACAACCGCCTCATGACCTCTGGGTGCTGACCAATGCAGCGGGTGCTTTCTATATCGGGTCTTCGGATAAGAAAAAACCTAGACACAGCATCAATAGGTTCACAGTGTGGTCACGCGCTCAGTATTATTTTACTCGATACGCAGCCAGCCGGCCGTTGTTGAATTTAAAAAGACTGCCTTCAAATTGACCAATCAAACATTTAGTCCTGAATTAGAAATGAAATGACGTAGTGATTTAATAAGTAAAGTCAACTCCGACTGGCTGAGGCACGGGATCGCGTAAATCTGCATGCTAAGATATATCAGACGTTAGACAAAGACTGGGCTCCTTGGATAACGGATGAAACTCAGACTTCCGTTGCCGAGGTCTGCGTTTACTGCCACTAATTGCGATTCGTGAAAATCAATTTATTATTGGTAGTTGTAGGGTTAAAATGCCTCGATCGGCGGCTTTACACCACATGCATGAAATGGCCAAAGTCTTCCGATATGTTATCATGTTATTTATACGGAAATGACAGTTTCATTTTACGCGTTGTCCATGTGGCCTTTGCCCTCTTAAACCAGACACGTTGGTTTGCAAATGAGCATTCGCCCATGCGCGACGCGATCACAAGACTACAGTCAAATCAAAGGGGGGCGCCCTTGCAAACAGGAAAGCGCTTTAATTACAACTGAACATCCCATGAGCTCTAAAATAATTCCCATTTACTTTAGCATAAATTTACGGTATGTGGGGTAATAGGGTGTTGCCCCAAATCCTAAAATTGCCCGGACGTGGATATCCTAAGAGATAAGGGGGTGGGACAGCTCAGCCTCGACTCCATGGGCGCGTGCGCGTTCCTTACGCTAACCCCTGACCGTGATGATGACGTAAATGACGCTGATTGGCTATTCACAGCGTACTGTGCGCGCATTTCGAAGATTTCACGCCGGGCGCGCCCATAATGCGCTCGCGTGCTTTGCACGTAACGTCACGTACGAACAAAAATGTGTTATTCAAAAGTCGCGATGCCTGTAAGATGTGGATTATAGCAGCCTTGTTTTTCGCTTAAAAAAAACCTGTATCTTCGTTTGTAAAGGGACGAAAGGGGTACGTACATTTAATAAAAATCTTTGCTAAATAACGCAACGTCCAAAAGTTTTGTTTGAAAGGACTGATTCTTCAAAATCACAACTTTTAACATTTTGAAGATGGCGTCAGCACGTAAAACGGATAAACTGCAGCCTAATTATAATGTGCAATATTTGACACATTTAAATTGCACAATTCCAGGGGTTAAGATCACGCGAGGCATGATGGGAAACAACATGGCGCAGCAAGATCGTACCCATGGGGAACGAGGTTGGGGATAGCTGGACACCTCCTTCTTCTTAGTCTTGGCTCAAGACGCTAGTATACAAATAACGAATGTTTGTGAGTGCGACGGTAAGAATAATTTCATGAGGTGACAGATTGAATGTTCTATTCCACGAGGCGAAGCCGAGTGGAATAGAACATTCAATCTGTCACCGAATGAAATTATTCTTTCCATCGCACGAACGTAAAACGTTCGAGGTTGGGGATAGCTGGACACCTCCTTCTTCTTAGTCTTGGCTCAAGACGCTAGTATACAAATAACGCCTGAATAAATTCTCGTCATTTGATTGGTAAATTATAAACTACAATTTTTTTTGATTTTAAAGATGTTTAACTACCCCTTCACGAAAATGTTTGAACCCAACGCTGTAGCGCTGGCTCTTTGGAACAATACGCGCTACGCTGAACGCGCACACCAGCATGCATTTTGCACGCACATACCGCGTCATGGAACAAGCGCAAAGTGAAACGGTATAACGCATGGGTATAACGCATGGTCGCACCGTGCATTATACCGAATAATAATATGTCACGTGATCTACAATTCACCAATCAGATGACGGGGATTTATTCAGGTGTTGTATAATGATCGATAGTGGACGGTGAATAGTGCGCCCTTTAATGCCACAACAATTATACCAGGGGGCATGCTCGCACTAATGTCTTGGCCATTTCGTATCAGCGGTTGAACTCTTTTTTTCTTTTTTTTCTCCGTAGGCTTGCCCACGGACCAATCAGCGATCGAGAAATAGTTCGATGGCTCGACCGACGGTTGTAAACATATACGTCACGCGGCACGTGATCACCGGCATCAGCGCTAACCAATCAGCGATCGAGACTTGACGGTTCAATGGCTCGCCCAATACACGTTCCGCGGTACGTTATTGGGCATGCATTGTATCAGCGCTTTCCGGGAACCAATCAACTGGTCGAGATACTGCGGTGATAATGCACGGAGCCCGTACAGACAGTCTAATAGACATAAATTGCCCCGCTTCCATACTACGAAATGACCAAGACGTTAGTGCGAGAAAAATAACAAACCAATTATGCAAGTGCGCAACACAACAGTGCAACTACTGTTCTTGATGATTGACGTCTTGGGCCAAGACTACCTTCTTCTGAGCAGTGATGCTCATGATATATTCTCCTGTCATTGAATGCACACGAAAACTAAAAAGTAATTTTTTAGCTATAATACCTGTGCTAAAATTCTCATCGAAAACAAATCAATGTTTTGACTACACGTAATTGTCAAATGAATTTTACAAAGAATAGAACCGCCAAACCAACACCAAACCCCCACACGTACCGTCGCTACGCCACTGTCCGCTCGGACGTTTACCAAGTGACTATAAAATCGACCTACTTTCCGGGGGACAATTAGCCTCTGTCACAAAATAACTAAATACTGACGATGAGGGCGCTTCGCGGAAATTTGTCAATATGGCGACGAACCACGGACGGCTAGACCGGCGTGTAACGTAAACATGAAAGTCCAACGAAATGAGTTTTAGACCTTTCAATCATATTTTGTCGAAGTTTTGTCAAGTGAACTGGTTTCAAGAGTAGTTCCGAGCCCAAGTCCTCAACACTTAGGTAGGAATAGTGAGCATGTCATAAGCTTTCCAAGCTGCCGCGGCCGGCAAAGAATTGCCGGCCCTGTCAAGTGTCATGCCTGGTACAGTGGTAGTGTAACTGTTAGTAGTAGTAAAAAAAATGCTGGTAGTCACGTACATTTATTGCGCAGTGCAACATATTAACATGTTATATTAATTATTACAGTCCATCATGTACGCGTGCAGAGCTGCAGAGAACAAAACCCACTTAATTAGAAAGTGAATATGTATGGATGTGTTTTACTTTTTGACAGAATGAAGGCTTCTGATGATATGAAATGCCACTGGAACTGCTGCCAAGCACTGTGCACGAACAACTACAAAACCAGACCATCAGTGAAGGCCTACCGGGTTCCTCCAGACATCCATATTCAAAAGCAATATGCTAGTGCTCTACGTACAGATGATGTCAACTGGAGTAAGGCATACTGCTGTGCTTCCCACTGGACAGGAGGACAGAGGGTCTCACATGATCATATACCAGACATTGCTGTTCCAGATAACGTGATTAATGCTTTGGAAGATAGGCTGGCAAAAACACCCCGAAAAGATAGGAAAAAGAAAATTGAGGCCAAACTTCTAAGAGCAAAACGACTGAGAAAACTGCCTGTCACTCCCAGACCAGCGCCAATCGATAGTAGCAACCAAGCGACTGTTGCACCAGTAAAATGCAAATCAAGACTGGAAAGAAAGCTTTTCAGTGAAAATGAAAAACTGAAGTCAAGGATTTCTGACATTGAGCAATTGGAAAGGGAAAAGCATCAGCTGGAGCAGAAATTGCAAGAACAAAAAACAGTTCAAGAATCCATTTGTGAAAATGAGTACCACACTGTTCAAGACAATATCCCAAATGAAAAATGCAACATTGAACGGAAGGTACATGTATCGTATAAGACATTATCTGAAAATAAAATCAAATTCTCAGAAATGACTGGACTAACTGTAGAAGAATTTGATACTTTGTACAGAGTTTTATTAGAGCCATACTCTAGTACGATTGTTTATCCTGGGTGTTTCTCTTTTAACCGCAGGTTAGATAAGCAAAATGAACTATTGTGCTTGTTTACTATATGGAGACAAGGCATGACACAAAACGTTGCATCATACTTGTTTGGGTTCTCAGAAATTGACTAATTTTGCGTGGTTACAGATATACGGCCAAAACCTCTGGACTCCCTACCTCTTGCCATGATCTTAACATTCTTCGAAGCCATTGGATTCAAATCGGATGATCAGAGAATTCATGGTCATTTTGATGAACTGAGTGATATCATGCACGCTTGTTCCGTGTTGCCGTGTTGTTTGGAGCGGGATTGGCCATTGCCAGACTTTGTCTGGTACCGCGGTATTAACAGTGATAATGCGTGGACACTTATCCCGTTGTGTGGAGCGGGATTGGAACTATGCTTGCCCGTGCGTAACGGCGGGCCGTCTGGCATTGTCTGGTCGCATCGCGGTGTTTGCTCGGCGCGCGCCTGGACAGTGCGAAGGTCTGGGGGGGGTCGTAACTTTTTGGTTATGAGTGGTAATAACCTGATTCAAAAATCAAGTTGTTGTTTATTTAATGGGGATTCCTATGATATTAAGCATTTTGATAGGTTTTGAAAATAAGATTTATAAAACATGCTAAAAGTAAATAATGTAAATCTTACAGAATAGAAACTCAAAAGTTGGCCATTTAAATTGTTGTATCTCCAAAGGGCAAACACCTATGAGCCTGATTCAAACGCCATTGATTTTGTTGTGTAATTTGCTTTCAGTGATACAAAACTTGAGATTTCTTTCTTTAAAAAATCAAATTCGCCGGGCTCCCTACAAATTAAGAGGAAACCCATTGCAAGATGTACATTTGTAAGCCAGGCACTACAAAACTCAGTGAATTCAACTAAAAAGATGTTAAAACTCCAACATAATCTTAGCCTTGTTTTAGTGATTTATATTTTATTACGTGTTTTGATAGCTGGCATCGGCCTTGGCCTTGGCCTCGGAGGTGGTTGCCTCGGCCTTGGCCTTGGCCTCGCGGTTGTGGCCTCGGCCTCGGCCTTGGCCTCGGCGGTTGTGGCCTCGGCCTTGGCCTCGGCCTCGGAGGTTGTGGCCTCGACTACAACACTGTCATTTACCCTTAGGGACTCGAGTCGAGTCGAGTCACCAAAAATTGTGACTCAAGTCAGACTCGAGTCGAGTCATTGATTCGAGTCATTACAACTCTGCCTAGACCAGCCAACAAGTCCCATTATGCCAGGGTTTGTTTGAAAGGATTGAAGCTTTTTAAAACAAATATGTACCATTTTTTGTTCAAATTTGCTGTTCAAATTTGCTGTTCTTTTTTTGTTCAAATTTGCTGTTCTCATCAAATCCAATTTACAATATTGGCGTCAATATATATGTGCGATGTCCCTTTAAGGCCACCATACTCAGGTGACCTTAAGCGGCGAAAGCATTGTGATAGCTATTGTTCATATTATTATAGGCTAATCCGTCACGTACTTGACAATGGCTTTCATAATAGCGTGCCATTGGGTTTTTCTACATTCGATGTGGCCTTGTGAGTGTAATTGAATAGGTTGTGCACACACGGTGCATGTGCCTACGAGTCACAGTGATTCAGCATAGGAAGTGGGCCTGATTCGAATGGTGAGGGGCATATCTATTTACTAATGGAACAGGTATTGATTACTGCAGAATTATATATTCGAGTCATCAAACTGCTGATCGAGTATCGGTTCGTCGCAATAGAGAATTATCCATTCGCTAAGTTACGTGTGATGAGTTGGTATGTACATGTATTAAGTAAGACCATCTCTTCATCAGTGGACCATATTAGTATAACGATGACCTTTTCTTTGGGGGGGGGGGATTTTAATTGAACAGTATCCATGTCGAATTTGGCAATGCCGTGAACCACATTTAAAATAAGAACATGTACAGAACACAATTCTTATTCGGTTTAAAGTCGACACAGTCAAGATTGAAGCTTCGTTCATGCTTTTGTTTGGTCGCGATTTGAGTTGAGACTCTGTACATTTTGTATATTTTCAGATCAACGTGTTCTAAAGCAATAATTATATCATCTTGCGCCGGACCAAATATTTCATCAATTCGTTCTGGAAATGGCACCATCTGTAAGTGCAGCTGCTCATCCTTACGACCGCGACAAGCGGGGCTGGGTCATGGTTGCCACAGCGTTTACCAGCAATTTGGTTGTGTTCGGTAACTTGAAAGCGCTGGGTGTGCTCCTGTTTCCCATGACCAACGACCTGGACAGCGACCTTTGGCTGGTCGGATGGATTTTAGTCTTCTACGGAATATTGCATAGTTTTATGGGTCAGTACAATCTTAGAATTTGAACTATGCATGTTTTTTGCACCACAAAAACTGCCCCAATCAGTAGTGGAGATTTCTGAGACCAAACAAAAAGTTGCATCCTTTTATGATTATTTTCGTCACTATCCCTCCTCTACTCTCACCCTCCCCTTTCCTTTATTCTTATTTATTAATAAGTCACTTATTTCACGGAGATTCATCGAGATTCGAACCTCGGACTCGGACCTCGGATATTTAAAACACATCACTTTTACCACTAGGCCACGCACGGTCGATCGTTAATAATTAATAATTAATAATTCTTTTGACGCATTTAAAGTATCCATTGAAATAAGACTAATGAATATTAAATAAAGTTTATAAGAAATTAAATATTCATAATGACGTATTGCACTGTCATTTGCCGGCTCATTCGTTGTCGATGTCATGCGTAACGAACCGCTAATTTGGCCAGCTGCCTGCAACTTAGTTCTCCACGAAGTGTACATCCAAAATGTGCTATGTAAAAAACATATTTTTCCTAAAAATCGTTCGCATTGCCGGAGCTTCCTGGATTCGTCTTGGGTGAAATCACAAGGTGAGGTGGAAATTGATGTGTTTGGCGGGAGATAAAGTTAAGGTCTAGTATGGGAAAACAACCCGACAAGATATACCACCTCAGGGATAACGGTTTACATTATGACCTTGATTTTGGCAGGACCTGCTGTCGGAGCTCTTTGTCGCTTACTTGGCAGCCGTCCCATGATGGTGTTTGGAGGAATTCTGCATACGCTTGGCTTCATGTTAACGTCGATATCACTCAGCGTATCTGAAGTAGCTGTTTTCATTGTAGGAATATCAGGTAGACATACTTTATTCCTGATTCATTACGCTTACCACATTATGAATGCAATATTTCACTAAAAACACATGTTCTGTCCAAGCTCACAACCGAACATTGGTTTTCTCAGGTCTCGGTGCAGCATTTAGTGTGTTCATCAGCACCGCAGTAATGGCCTCGTACTTCAAAGAGAAGTATCCATTGGCTGTCGGACTATCGACAATGGGCATTCCGACAGGTATGATGGTTTACGGACCAGTTACACAGGTGCTGTTGGATATCTATGGCTGGAGAGGAACTACACTCTTGTTGGGAGCTATCTCGTTTAATCTGGTAGTGTGTGCCGTGTTAGTAAAACGGGATCCATCTTCCTCTTCATCAGACACTGTGCAGTACCATGAGGTTTCGGTAAGCGATCATGAAAATCTCGAGGAAGGAGGGAGAATTAACGCTGAAAACAAAGCGGAAAGCTCCGATGGTATTACTCGCTCAAATCATGAAAGCCATAAAAGTCAGGCAAATAAGGCGAGGCAGTGTTGCCGGCACATAATGGAAGCAATCGATTTTGCAGTGTTGACAGATGTGAGGTTTGTTTTGCTGATCTGCGCAAGATGCGTTTCTACTTTTACCTACTCCTCGTGGTTGGTGTATATGGTGTCGCATGGGCAGTTTCAGGGCCTGAGCGAAATTCAGGCGTCTTTTTTGCCCGCTGCCTTCGGGATTGGAAACGTAGTTGGCAAGTTAGGAGTGCCCCTCATGCAGCGGGCCGGCATACTGCCACCCATGACCTTCTGGGCGTGTTTCGGGGCAAGCATCGTGAGTGCATCGTTCCTCCTCGATGCCTTTATCAAACCGTTTGTGGGACAGTTAGTTCTCACAGGACTAGTAGGTGTTGGTTTTGCTTTGAACTATCAGGCCATTGATGTCATGGTCCGATTCCTCTCGACAGACGACCGCTTGATTAGTGTACTGGGCTGGCAAGGAATGTTTATTAGCGTTGCTGGGGCACTTGGCGGATTGATATCAGGTTGGTTTTTAACTATCTACATATTTATTTTGCCTCCGATTGTCGGTTTCACATTTCCTGATCTAAATCTAAACTTATGCAATTCAATAACAATTATGTTGTTGACACATCAAATTAAATAAATGATGAGATCTCAACGATTTTTTTTCTATTTTCTACAGGGCGGATTTATGAGTTGACGGGCAGTTTCAGCAGCGCCCTCTTCGTGTTTAGTGGAGTGTCGTTGCTGTCGATTCCTTTGTTTGTTTCCGAGGCCATATACGCCAGGCGGAAGGCACACTGAGGGTCTGCAGAGGTTATATAAGAAAAGTCTACCAAAATAATGAATCTGAACACGTCGGAGTGCTTGCATGAGAAGAACGAGCATCTGTGACCAGTCGTGTTTTTCCAACAGACAGGTCTTAGTAACATTTTTATAATTCTAAGATGCACAGTACATAGGCTGTACATTTATTGGATGAGCCATTGTTTTGAAAACATAAAATAGCGCCCTCTGTAGTTGCAGAAACTTTTTATTGCAACGCCCTCGCTTGTTTCTTTAACTTTCCTGCATCCAGCAAGCACATTCTGGCATATTGTTGGTACATTCCAACATACCTGACATTCTGGAATATCGTTAGCATTTTACTGACCTGCATTGCGTGCTGCATAGCACCACAACTAGAGACTGCTGGCTAAGATGGCTGTTATGCAACACATTCCTCTGACATTTTACTCTATTTGTGTCACTTGAGTTGTCAGATTTGTGTAAAGGATATACCAGAGGATGGGGTTTTCATTTCTGATCATACTGGATCAGTATTAGAGCGGAACTCAGCTCCTACAAAGAGAATTGGTGAGGTTTTGACTTAAATTTTTCAGGGTTTTAAACTTAGAATAGCCACAAGATCGCGGAAGAAACATCGCATAATTGACTGCCTCCATTCAAAGGATGACATTCACTATGCTGCAGGATCGCGCCATTGTCTACTCACAAACACTTCATTGAGCTTCACCAAGCCTTATCTCAATCAACAGCAACGGTCATCTTTCATTTGGAAAGGCAAGACAAGGTTTGGACATGCACCGTTCCGCTATTATTCAAACTGTGTTGCCATTTTTAACATTGATCTTTCAGGAGATGTGGAATCCAACCCTGGTCCACAAAATGGAACATCTAATTCTGAATCATCCAATGATCCCCCCAGACTGTTTTCATAGTGTTTTAGTAAGCAGCCTTTATCCGTTTGGCCAGTACAGAATCTTTGCCCTAACTGAAACTTGGTTGACAATTGATGTAGCCAATGCAGAAATAACGGTTCCTGACTTTACACTTTTTCGCAAGGACAGATCGAATAATAGTCGAGGCGGTGGTGTTCTTCTTGGTTGCCACAATTTTTTATAGTGTCGGGGAAGAACTTACTTTAAACTTGATGATCTATAATTACTGTGGGTTGAGATCGAATTGCGTAGGCGTTGCAAGATGTTGGTGTGTGTATTCTACAGGCCCCAAGCATTGGCATTCAACCACCGACAGCCCTTGCAGACTGTCTTACTAATGCATCTAGTGAGTACAGCACCATAGGTTATGTTCCTAGGCTAGTCAACGGATCTTTTTCCTGAGGAAATTAAAACTATTTCATGTTGATCGTGATATTATGTTGCTCTTTTATCAGAGTGTCATACAGTCCGCCATGTCTTTTTGTTGTATCCCCTGGTTAAATGGTTTGACTGTTGCGAATTCGAACAAGTTAAAAATGATCACTAAAATTGCCAGCAGGGTCATTGGTGTTGATGTTCTGGACATTCAATCAATGTCCCACAACGCTCTTGAATCCAAACTGAGAATCATTACACTGTTAAAAAAGTTTGGCAAAATGGGTTGATAATTATCAACTGCCCACACTCGTGGGCAAATTCATCTCAACAGTTTGACGGTCTTTGCCCAATTCAACCCAACGCTGGGTAGATTACATTGCCCAACAGTGTTTTATCCAACCTTTTTTTTACTAGTGGGGCTGTTAGGGTCAAATAAATGACACAATTGTGCACTTTGTGACGAACGCATGAAATTTCAAATGTTGGTTCTTCATGCCATGAAAAAAATTCTCAGAAGTGGAGACATTTCATATTTGACCTCTGATGACCTTTGAGAGGTCAATGAACTTTGCATACACTATTAATAATGATTGTTCTTGAAAACACAAAGTGAACTCTTTGAAAATGCCCCCCAAAACAAGATAATTTTCTGACAAACATCTGGCTGGGTATGTAAGTAGAGATAATAGATAATTATCAAAGTTTACAGAAATTCGTACATGTCCGGAAATTTGTGCCCAGTTTCCGGACGCCACCGTTTTTGAATTTTGGATTAAATTTTATGAAACCGAAATTGTTCACAGAGGTTAAATAGCAAGCATTATTAAGGAAAAAGTACTAGTATTTTACTGCATGAATTTGAGGTTTGTCAAAAAAGAGGTTTGGCAACACTACACGAGGAAAGTCGGGTAGGCTTCGAAGTGCGCCACGTTAGGGAACACGACTATACATATTACTCCATCATCGGCCAAACAACCTATGACATATAAGCAACATAATTTCAACTTCCGCACGGCAGACCTGAATGACTTACACAGGACATTAGAATGTATTTCATGGTGCTTACTGGAGGCAACAGACAACTGTGGTGAATCAGCCTCACTGTTTCATGATCCGTTGGAGGCTGCTCTTAGTAGATGTCGTGCCTACAGTTCGACCTTGCTGTCCGTCTCTGCCCTGGTTTCATGCCGAGGTACGTGTTGCAAGCCATCAAGTGAAGGAGAGAACTTTCAGAAAGAAACGGTCCAGTCCTTCTGATATAAATACAGGTGGATCAAGAAAACACGAAACCGAGGTATTATTGCTAATTGGAACAGAATTAAGGCACATGTGAATCAAAGGGAGATTTCCTCTATTAGGGTTGAATTTCCTCTTTAAAATGACACCCTGATCATGTCATCACATTCACGGTTGACTGAGCAGTGACCAATAATATGAAAGGGTCTATTTAGAGGCTTGTGCTACTTTCCAATATAGCTCTATGTGCCTAAGTTATATGCTTGTTATAACGCTTGTAAAATCAACAACCTATCGCCCATTGTACTACCTTCATGAATAATACCATTTAAAAACAAACCCATTCTGGTGATAAAGTCGTGGGTAAAACTTCATGTCAGCACTGTCCGTACATGCACATGTAGTTCAAAGCAAGTAAAATGCCTTGTGCACTGCCATTCAAAATACGGGTTGCCTGCAACCATTCATTAAATAGAGAGGTTTTTTTTTTCTTGGATGACAATGGGGTCTGAAAGTAAAGGAACGTTTCCAAAACACGAGATTATTATTGGAAAGCCCTTACCGATTCAACCAACACTATCCAGAAGGATGCACTTGTAGGCGCTGACTGGATTATTGCCGCTGTACTGGTGCTGGCTGAGTGTAGGCATCTGACATCGGTTCTAAAGACGTTCCTGGCCTGGCGCCTCGGAGCCTTCGGATTTTCTCTCTCGGGGCGCAACCGTGCCATGTGAGCCGCGCCCGCCGGAGCGGGACAGCCCCTCTCTCAGGCCGGCGCCAGTGTGCTACGTTGAAGACTACAGCACGAACCCGGCCGTGTGCCGAAGACGGGGCACAGCCAGTAACTCCACAAAAATATCTCCACTGAATCCGCCATATCATACGCAAATGATCTTCACTGAATCCGCAATATAAACAAATTAGTACGATTCTAAGCAGCATGCACAATTATTTTCGAACTAAACTTACATGTTCGTCTTTTGAAGCCGTGACTTAAAATGCACAGAAAACACACTACGGCGCGTATACCGCGTAAATCATTCATAATCCTGCTTACAGATTGGCCAAGCAATTGGGCGGAACCCCCTAAGGCTGATTGGCTGCCTTAAAATCCCAACGCTGATTGGCTGCCTCAGAATCCGGCCGCCGCATGTAAACGCAAGATGCTCGTATAGTCCGCAATCGTGAGAGATTATACGGCAAACAGGGAAGTTTGCACACGTCCCCAAACCAATGTTTCCGTTGAGTATAATGTATGTATATCATTTACGTGATGAAGTTTGTTGCCTTTGATCCAGTAAAAACACCGCATCGATGTGCACAAGCCGTTTTCACAAGGTTTGCAAATGTAGCCCCTGATCAGTCAACCATGAAATCACCAAAATGATAATGGTGTCATTTAAGGCCTGACAGGTTTATCTACCATTATGTATGGAGCGATATTCGAAATATACAAACTTTTCGTTTTTGTGACATTTTTTCAGAGTGTATTCTTCTTTTTGATACACCCTGTATAGAGCTTTAAGTCCGATTTGTTTATAACTTGGTATATACCTAAACTGGGATGTTTTATAGACAAAAGAGTCAAAATCAAACAATGTTAATGTTTTGGATTTACTTATCCCATTTCAAGCATTTGGTTGAAAAGAAACAACCTATTTTCTTACCGTTCCCGAGAAAAGACGGAAACCCAGTTATTTACATTGGACATGATCGAGTAAGCATGCGTTTTTCCTGTCGTTTCAGTCAATGTACAAACATATTCATTTTTGTGACATTTTAACAGTCACAGAGTCAATTCTAACGGCCGAATAAGCTGTGTTTATCGGTTACACCTCTATGTTCGGACAAAATTATATGTGGTCGACGATTCTTGACTATGTACTGGGAACGGTGTATCGTTCAATTTGTTTAAATTGGCTAATTTTGGCCCGCATACAAATTGGCTGGCGTATACGAGTTGGCCCGAGTACGACATGTACGAGTTGTCTCGCTACGAGTTGGTTCACGTACGAGTTAATAAATACGCGCAGTGGCCAAGTTAAAAACTACTATTAAGAATATCCTGGGGTTTTTATCGTACAACATTTCCAGGCATTGGGGGGATTGGGGGCGGTATAACAATCACAAGAGCTTTAGAAAATTGTCTCCTTCAAACACCGAAATTAGCTGCGGCATATCCCCTTGTTACAGACGTCACGGTATACTCCATCTTCACTTACGCTATGCTGTGCTAGCTCAGCTAGCGGCATCGCATCACCACGTGTACGTTTTTACCTTGTTTTAGTACGTACGTTTTATTTAATTGCAGTACGTTCTTACATAATTAAGGTAAACTGACTGCTTTACTTATTCAATACGTATTTTACAATTTACATGTTTCCGAGGTACTTTTTTCAGGCGAATTTTACCAAAATTATGTATTATTTTACATAACAATTTTGCCTAATTATTGTTTACATATCTTTT